GGGCTAAGAGCAAAGAGTCCAGAGATTACTCACATAGTTACTAGTTGAGGATTAAGCTGCACTTAAGACAAGTCTGGGCCAAGTGTGTGTGTGTGTGTGTGTGTGTGTGTGTGTGTGTGTGTGTGTGTGTGTGTGCGTGTGTGTGCGCGCACTGCTTGAGTCTTTGCACGTGCCTGTATGTGTGTACCACATGATTTCAATAGCAGCCATAACTGGGTGTGTATTTAATGCTTTGCTCTTTGCTCCCAGTCAGTTGACCTGAGTGAAAGTGGAACGAACAGCTCATGGTCAGCTGAACTAGTTTCTCTGTTTGCTCAAGTACATTTTTGAGTATTTTTTCATCCTTTAAATGAATGCTGCACTTGTGTTGACATTGTGGGATTTCATTTCTTGCCCTTTTCAACCCCCACACATTAAGTTCTCTAAATCCCAAGCATGGAGACATTTCCCCCTCCCTTTTTTGCAGATAGGTAGCTGTTTTTATGAAGCTATGACTTCTTCATTTTTAGGTTTGTCTATATGAGCGGTCTGTTTGTCTTGAAGGGCTTAAAGCCACTCATGCTGAAAAAAGTTGTAGTTACAATTGTAAAATGCATGTGTGTGATTTTGCAGCTCCAGGAGCAGTTGGAGCGCTTCATGAAGATGAATGCGGAGCTGCGACACAAACAGAACGTGCTGCAGGCCCAGCTGAAGAGCACGGTGGAGAGGAAGGCCGACATGGAGGCCGACCTAAAGGAGAAAAGCAAAGAGATAGAAAACCTCTTGGCACAGCTGGACAGAACCAACAGCAACAACCCTGTAGGCTCTCTTCTTACGCAAACATACGCATACAAATTATTATTCCTTCACTTCATGTCCAACATAGTTAATAAATGTAGTAAATGTTATTGTGATTCTCTCATGAAGTCACTCACATCATTCTAGCTTCACTGGGAATGCGTTTGCACTAGTTTGCTTCACATATTCAGACTCTTTTTCATTTATTAACAGGGATAAAATCAATACTTAATCACACATTTTTAACAGTCTTCTGCTTCACTGACTCATGAATACTCTTACATAAGCTAGCATTAAAAAAAAAAAATGTATGTGGCCCTTCTGATCAGATGACGTTTATTTTCTAAATCATCCCAAACAACACAAATATTAGTGTTTCTCCTCTTCCAGCGATCTGCAGACCTCACTGTTTGTTGTTGAATTGTTTTAAAACAGGTGTTTAGTGTGTTTGATCTGACGACTCTCTGTCCTTCCATCAGTCCAGTCTGGGCCAATCAGCTCGTGCGCAGACTAAAAAGCAGACGGTTGACCAGAAGGACCCGGACCAGCCATGCTTTACCAAGAAGGAGGTGCGCGACATCATTTTTGAGAGGAACGAGCTCAAAACCAACCTGTTTCTGGTGCAGGAGGAGCTCAACTACTATCAGAGGTTCGTCTACTGTGTGTTTGGTGTGTGTGTGTGTCTTCGCTTCATGCCGAGAAAGGACACATCTAGAAGAGCCACTGTGTCAATTTTAGTTTTTTTAAAAGTACAGTTGCATGTGCTTTTTTCCAACCATTGGTAGATGTAGTTTTTCACAGTTATAAACAACCATTTCCTGTTGATTGAACCGCAATTGCGTGTGTTTTCTGCAGGGAGATCCTGAATGAGGAGAGGTGTCCAGGCTTCCTGTTAGAAGCCGTCCGCTCAGCCATTAACAAGAAGAGAAAGCTCATTAAAGCAAAGATGCTTGGCATTCCTGTGAAAGAATGCGATAGCAGGTGTCTCTAAATGCACACAAACACTCCACACACGTCACAACTTCATCATAACTAGAAATGCATGTTTAGAAGTTTTAAGAGGCCAACAGATGTGTTTTTTTTTTCTCCTTCTGTCCAGTGATGAAGATGAGAGAAGTTCTTTGACAGAAGTGGACGGCACTCTTAAACCAGCTGAATCACGCATTCAAAACCTGTGAGTACAAGTTTGATCTACGCTGCCACATGGACAGGGGACCAAAATGCTGGTCGAAAAAAGTTGAAAAGTCTTGTTACTGAAGTGTCTTGAAGTCTGCACAAGCAAATGTATCGAATGATTCAACTTTTTCCCTTTAACTTCAATGTTTGTAACCGTAAAGTATGAGACATGCAGCAGGACGACAGATCTCTGTTTTCTAACAAGCCCTTTTCAGACTGCCGTAACTAAGCTCAGCCGTCATCGCGTCTTTGCACATTCATACTGATGATGCGACGTCGCAATGTCTGCATCCCAGTCTGTGAATTCACATTAGGTATTGGAGTTGCGGAAGCTCGGCACAGCGGGAGCTCCTCATAGACACACAGTCAGACATGCACGCACACACATCGCTGCGCTCCCCTGCTTGGCTCGATTGAAACAGTCTGAATAGGGCTTCACGTTCTGTTTGACTCACTGTGATCTTAGTTAATATGGATCCAGACCTTGTTCTGTCTAACTTTGATGCATGTGTGAGCAGTCAAGCAAAACACTCAGACACGTTGTGAAGACAGTGTTTCTCCTCTGCAGAGTTTTGTCTCAGGAAGAACACGACAGTAAACAGGCCAGTATATGAGGTTTTAGTTTTTCTAGATATTGAATACTAAGTGGCATTACAGAGAAATTCTCTACCCAGACAACCTCATGATTATCTTTTACGCTGTATGCTTGAAATGAAGGAAGAAAAGAAACACGACGGGACATGTGATAAAAGTGAGAATGACGTTAACCCTGATGCCTCATATTTTGTGCTGTTAACCTAGCTAAGCATGTCTGTCGCGCTAGAAGTGTGTGTCAACAAACTGAAACTAATACAGAATAAGGACTGGGAATTATCAGGGGCTAAGACTTACAGGGAAGAAAATCATGTTTACTCAGCATCCACTTAGGAAAAGTACTCTGAATCTGATTGAGGGAAAGCCTTTGACATAGAATTTGATTAAGCAAAGAATGTTTTCGACAACCCGTGACAACACAGAGGAGCAAAGACTTTTTCTGCCCCCCTTTTTTCTCTATCGAAGAAGGCCTGTGTCATAGTTGTCCAGTTTGCTTTTTTCCATATTGACTGATTAGAAGATATATGGAGCTTTTATGATATATTTCTTTTAGCCCAGGACACTTAAATAAAGAAAAGTAGGGAGCATTTGTGAAAAACAGAAATTAATACAACCTCTTAAAACTGTAGTACTCTACACTGTGTTCTTATTGAAATGCAAAGCGAATGCCGTAAAATTCCCTTTTTTATAAAAACTCAATCAAAAACAAATCAGACATGACGTGAATCACACCATTTGTTTCATCTCTCTCTTTCTCTCTCTGCTGTCACTGTCCTGAGATCTTCGTCATCCTGCCCTATATTTAGCTTTAATCCCCGCCTGCAGAGCTGACCTCATGTCTGTCTTTTTTTTTTTTTCTTCTCTGCCGGCTGCAGCTTTGGCTTCCTGACGCGGTCGGGCAGCGGCCGGAGCCCTACCCACATGAGAAACTCCTCCTCCACCTGGGAGATCATCGAGGACTCAGAGGCCTCTAATGAGATCGATCACCATGCTTCTCTCTGAGCTGAGCGCAGCACTGATCACAGAGAGACGACAAAGACATTTGAATGCAGCGCCGGTGTGTGCAGTGCAAAAGCACTATGTTGGAGTGAGGAAAGAGAAAGTTTGAACATTTTTAAACAAACTCCTGTGTTATCTTTTAGTTGGTTTTGTTCATTACTTTTTCCTTTTTATTCATTGCAATCATGCCCCAAGTCCCTGTATTTTAACATTTTAAACATTTATGGACAATTTAGAGGCATACTTGAAATCACTTTGAAAAAGGTACAGCCATATTTTTGTATCATCATGAGAATAGTTTAATTATTCACTCATATTTATATAGAGATTCTTTAACAATTTTAGGAAAAAAAAAAACCAAAGACAGACATTAGGAAAGTTTATACTCTGAAAGAAAACTCTCCTGTCTTGTGATTTAAAAAAACACATTTAAGTTCACCACTGCTCCACTAGGGGGCGTTTGTTTTATACCTCAGTAGGGGACTATTTTAAAGTCATGTTTTTTTTTTTTTAATTTGAAGCACTTTTATGCTCAAGGTCAGGTAATTGTATTTTGAATTTTTAGTGGTCTCTTCCAGCAGTGTGTGCATTCTAACCCCCTGAGCCTTAACGTGCTCGTGTATTGTAAAAAAAAAAAAAAAAAAAACAACGACAAAAAAGTCTTATTTTTTGGCGATTGAACAAAGTTGATGCCTTTTACTTTTTCTTTCTGCGATGGTGGTGCCGTAATTTCACACACTTTTATGTGTGGAAACAGATGCAGTATTGGTACTTTGCTTGTGGACATGAGAATCTTTTGAACCCCACCTCCATAAGCTCACAGGTACAACACTACAGTCTTGAGACAAAGACAGGCCAGTGGTTTTGTATTAACTGAGTGACAATGTTTGAGCTTCTGATCACATCATATTGTCCAAGAATACTGTGTTATTTTTGTACCCATGTTTTATGAAAGTCTCTGCTGTCGAAAACAGATTTAAGATGTCAGTTGCCATGTGAGTGCATTTTAGTGACGAATTGTGATAAAGTCATGAAGTGTGTGGATTTTCTGTGATCCATTAAATACAAAATTGTATCAAAAAAACAAAACGGTCTCAATCATTTTTTTCCCACATGACTCAAGAAAAAAAGGCGATAAAAACTTGTGATCAGCTTTGTTCTGACTTATAGACTTAAAAGGAGGATGCAGGCGTTCTTCAACTCCTGGAAGACTGTCAACAATAGATTCTGGGAAAAGGTGAACATCAGGGGTGAGTGTTTGGGTTTTACATGTCCCTTCACCAGTGTGTGCGGCGAGTTTTGTGTGTTAGTGTTCAATCCATCTTTAAAAAGCTCTGCGTCTGGCTGAATAGAAGGAAGTGGATCTGACTTCCCCAGGAAATGGGAAGAGGAAACCCGGAGGCTCTGACCTCTCTGGCTGCAGTCGAGCCGCAAGACGACCGACAGGACAGAAAGAGACGGAGGTTTGAGGAAAGGGTGTTGTGTAGATGGGAGATATTGCCTCTCATTGTGCTCCATCTGAGTGAAATAAGTTGAGAGGACAAGAAGGAGTTAGGAACGGTCAGGGCATAAAGACGTGACAGAAGGAATTTCAACCCTGGTTCTAGTTCTTGGTCTTTGTGTGGAGATGAAGCTTCTCTTCCGAGCTCTGGGTGCTCTGCTCTGCTGCTCCTTGTCCTCCTCAAACACCCTGGATCCTTCTGGGAAGAACGTCTGCCACAATACCAGGTACAAGTCAACTTTACCGTCACTTTCTCTTGTTGTTTTTTAATGATTTACCACTGGGAGATGGCACCAATGGCGAGTCAATAACATTTGATTTTAAAATAAAAATTCATAAAATTGGTACCATTAAATGATATGATATTGGTGCCATTCCTGTGACAAGAAGAAAAGAAACAAAAAGAAACTTTTCTCTACAAAGCGAATGACTGTGCTTTACAAATTTGTTGTATTACTTTCTAAATGATTCCCCTTCTTGTCAGTATTTCTAGGTGTATTTTCCTGCTAAGACCCTTTTTTCTAGATATCAAAATTGTCAAGCTCATTTGATAGTTCATGTACCTTCAGGAACCCCTCCAGCCCGGTCTGCTGCACTGGATGGCGTCAAGAAGGGAAAGAGTGCACTATACGTGAGTTTAACATCTCTGAATTGTCAACAATTTCAAGGACTGCTGCCTTTACTACCTCCATATTAACTTTGTGATCCTGTTATCTTGGTTTCTTGCTGTGATGCAGCTGTGTGCGAGGGTGAGCAGGCCTGCCTGAAGGAAGAGGTCTGTGTGTATCCTGGAGTGTGTCGCTGCTCTCCTGGCTACTTTGGAGCTCACTGCAAAACACGTAAGCTACTATAAACATTAGGAGCTGTAAAGTATCCAATTATTGCTTATAAATGAGCATTTTGAGTTACTTTAGATTATCCTTACGTTACAGCTTTGGAAAATTACATCATTGACCTGTGAAAATGTCTTAGAAGTTGCATCCAAACCATATTATCACAAGGGGCTGTTTTTTAATGACTTTTTTAAAGTCATTTCTTACTTTATGTATTTTTTTTAAAAATCTTATTGGTTAAAGTATTCAATAAGTCTGTCACAAGTAGCTCTCTGAAGTGTAGATGCCTTGTGTTATAGAACAAGACACTCAAGTAAAGTACAAGTCTCATAAAATTGCAAAGAAGTGCAGTTCTTTGTGTTATATTCATTCCCTTTGTTCAGTGGTTACACATTTTCTTTGCACATTTATGAGAGTTATATGTATGACCTATGTTTTTGATTTTTTTCTGTAACCAGGCTGTCCTCCTGAGTTCTGGGCCTCAGACTGTCGCCAGGTGTGTCCTTGCCACCCAAATGGCCGCTGTCACCCTGTCACTGGTGAGTGCACCTGCAACCAAAACCGTTGGGGTCCACTGTGCCAATACACCTGCAAGTGCGGCCGACATGGCCACTGCAACCCCTTATACGGTAACTGCACCTGCGACGAGGGCTGGTGGACGTCCACCTGCTCCAAGCCGTGTCAATGTGTCAACGGGGGATCTACAGGCCCCGGATGTGACCAGCTGACAGGTCGGTGTCAGTGCCACCGGGGCCACTGGGGGCTGAAGTGTCCCGGCACCTGCAACTGCTACCTGTCGCTGTGTAACCAGCGTAATGGGGTGTGTGAGTGCAAGGCAGAGTGGTGGGGACCCAGCTGTGACCGGCGGTGTAACTGTGACCTCACACACAGCAGCTGTGACCCTGCAAGCGGGCAGTGTGTGTGCCACCTGGGGTTCAAGGGTAAATACTGCAACCAGGCCTGTGACATTGGGGAGTACGGCAGTGGTTGCACAATGAGGTGGGTGTAAGCTCTGAGACGTTGGTTGTTTAAATACTGTGCCTGTTTGTTCTCATAGGTCTTTTTTTTTTCTGTCCATAGCTGTGGTTTCTGTAAAGACAAACAGCGCTGCTCATCCACTGATGGAGCATGTGCCGCCTGCGAGCCTGGCTGGAACAACACACAGTGCGACCGCCCTTGCCCACCTGGTTACTATGGCGACAGCTGCAAGGAGGAGTGTCCACGGTGCAGAAATAATGAACCCTGTGACCCAAAGACTGGGAAATGTTGGAGATGTGACGCTGGATGGACTGGACCCAGGTGTGTTTTGTTTTTGAGGCCCTGCTGTACTTAAATTACGGTGAAGGTTACTGAATAATTAGTGGGGGGTTTTTTTCCACACTGATTGTATACAAAATGGACATAGTCTCAGTGATGTCATTGGTTTCCCTGAAGAAGCATTAGGGGGGAAGGCGGTTGCCATTTTTGAAATATGCACTATTCCTAACTTTTGGCTAATCAAGAAACAGGCAAAGAGGGGGAGCTGAAGTATTCTGAATGAATTAGTTTAGTAGCTTAGCTGCAGACTACAACATGCCCTCCTCAGCCAAGCCACTTATTATGCCTCAAAATACAAACTCTCAGCCTTTATCGCATGAGAGTTTGCTCTCAAAGTCCACGTCTCAAAGAGGCCTTAGTCATAGTTTACCACACAGCAGATTAAGTTCAGACTGCACATATTAATTTTCATACTGTATGAAATAAATAGCAATACATTCCTGGAAAAAAGGAAGAACAGTTTACAGCTAGTGCTACGATTTAGCAAAGTCTGCTGTAACATGAAGCTAATGTAGTTAACACCTCATGTATATACAGAGCTCCTTGATCTAGTGTGTTGACGTTCATTTTATAGGAGTGTGTGTACTTTTTATCAGCTGCGAAAAAATAAGACAGAAAGAGGAACATTTTGTCTTCCACCTGACTTAAGTCCTTAAATGTGTGGGACAAATTCAAACAATAGCAACAAAAGAGGTAAACTAATTGTTATACATCAGTGAGGGCAAATGACTAGAAATGGATATGAAATTATTATTTGAATCTTTGTCCCTTCTCATCAGGTGTGAGGAGGCCTGCCCAGACAGGACGTTTGGAGACGCCTGCAGCTTCCTGTGTAGCCCTTGCTTCCATGGTAACTGCCATCATGTGACAGGAAGATGTGTCTGTCAACCCGGCTTTCAGGGAGAGAGGTGAGCTTGACTGGCACGGCATCAAGTTAAAACAAAGTTTCTCTCTCAAAAAAAAAAAAAAAAGCCACACACACATGCGCACACACACACACACACACACACACACACACACATATATTGATAACATAATTACTGTTGCTTACTTTATATAAAGATTTTTGTTTTAACGTTTTAACCAATGAACCCATTCACATTCCTCTTTTATATTTCTATCATTTGACCATCAATTGGAATTAAAGTTGTGACAATGGAGTTGTTTAAAGAATGTTGAATGTTGCTCTGGTGCACTCAAGGGACCTCTGACATCAGCAAATTTATTTTTTAACAATGCAGTCTTAATCTGTGTTTTAAAAATGACAAAAACAGAGAAGAAAAAAAAAACGTCAGCGAACATTAATTAAGATTCACATGGCTTTTCTAAAAAAAATGTTTTTAGAAGACAGCTGTGTAATTTGAGCAAATAAACCAAAGTGACATGCAATTACAGGTTAGCAAGTAAAACCACATAAAAGCTCTACCATGGTCCCTTTCTTTTCTTCTTACAATTCTGCAATGTGTATTAGTCATGTTGTTTTCACTGTGCACTTAAATAGATGATGATTCAGTGTTCATACACAGGACTTTCTGTTTGCTGTGAGAGTATGACTTCTTTTTTCTTTCTTTTTTTTTTTTTTTAGCTGTAACAGCAGCTGCTCCGCCCTGCAGTTTGGGATGAACTGCTCCTCCGCCTGTGACTGTGGTGAGGGTATCGAGTGTCACCCAGTTACCGGTGTCTGCCCTAACAGTACGTACCATCCACCCATCAATCTGTTTTGTTTTAATGTTCAGATTGCTATGAACCTAAACGACATCACATGCTCCTTCATGTGTGTGTGTGTATCAGGTATCAGCGGATCTGTCCTGGCAGGTGTGCTGGTTCCTTTGCTCCTGGTGCTCCTCACTGTGCTCTGCTGTTGTCTGTGTTGTGGAGGAGGCCCTGTTGATGGCAAAGACAGGTCTGTAATTCACTTCCTTAAATCTACATTATGTCAGTAATCAAGCTGGTTCAGCGAAGCTCAAGTGGAGGCAGTTTGTGTTGTTGAATTGAACTTTTAGTAGATTTTAACTGTGGGAAACTAAAGCTCTTCCACATGAAATTCAAGACATGAAGCTATACATAGAAACGTTATTGTTCTTCCTTAAATTGGATATTGTTCTGCCTTCATGAATTTTAGATGTTGTGAAGAGTATAGAGTATTTGAGTTATTAGGATTCACCTTTAATCATTTCTTTCTACTATGTGCAACAGTGTTAAATTTTTATATATAAACCATCTTTATCTCAGAGCGACTGTGGCTGAAGGAGGCTGGTCGGCTCGGATGAAATATCACGTCTACAGCGTCCTGGCAAACATTGGTGCTTCACTTCCCTGTATCTCTGATTGGTCATCTGGCTTGCCTCGTGTCACTGGTGAGAGCTGCAACACAATATTTGTAGTCAAAAAACTATATAACTCACACTTAATATATATGAAAGGATCCTGTGAGGAGTTATAAGCTGGTTATGAAACAGACCGTTAAAAGACAGCAGAAGTCTTAAACATGTACAGTACAAGAACAGCAAAGAGTTAAAAGGTACTGCTTTGTCCACAGGGGGGCGCCAAAATGGAATCAAATACAGGAACTTAAGTTCATGAAGTGTTTACAACCTTATTCTCATATATTTATTTACTAAGAACGAAGTGAAGATGTACAAAATTGACTTACCTATTATTATGTAGAGATTTATTATTCAGTGACCAGACGCTTCTTCTTGTTACCTCATGAGAGATATTTGTATGCCATTAAAGCCTCAATTTCTGTGGAGATATGCCTGCATTTATCATGAAGACAACTCTGTTACTTTCTTACTTAATGAAGGTTAAGGAGCTGTAAATGCAACAAGTTAATCACTTTTTTCAGCCAATCACTCAAATATTTATCAAGAGCTTATCCAAAGTTTTTTTTTTTTAACAATTTCCGGTGAACTAAACCTGATGAAATGTATCTTTGTGCATTCCCATCTCTGTGTTTGGATTGGTGAAATGTTTGAAGGAGGAATTGCCTCAATTATTAAGGCAAAATTCTAACCTTTATAAAATATTTAACAGCAAACTTAAAATTACAAGTTTGTTATTGCAAATGAATACATTAGAATCTGGAGTTCAATCATTTCAATATGTCTATCGGCTGCTTTGAAAGGAACTCTGTCTTGTAAAACCTACCCTCAATAAAAGACAATCCCCAGTTGGATTTGACAAACTGAGGCTTATATAGTTTAATGTAATCTTTATGCCACACATACAGTGTCTCACCATGACCCTGAGCTGACGTTCAATCACAGCTTCATTGAGCCTCCATCCTCTGGATGGGTGACTGAAGGATCTTCGTTCGACAGTGATGAGGAGGAAGGAGAGGCGCTCTACTGTGTCCCTCCAAGAGAAGGTAGAAAAAAGGATACATCTAACTATACACTGCCCACCTGTGGGGGTTTGCAGATACTACAGAATCCACCTCCTCTTCTCATGTCTCATGTCTCCTCTCTCTCCATCTCTTTGGCAGACATACCCGCTGTGGCAGGCGGAGAGTTCCAGGAGATGAGTTCAAAGTGCAACATGTTCTTAGACCCGTCTGGCTTCAGCAGTGAGGACATCACTTCCCCCTTCAACATCCCTCGCACCTCCAGCATCGCCAAGGCCAAGCGGCCATCTGTCTCTTTTGCCGAAGGCACTCGCTTTAGTCCCAAAGAGAGGCGTGGCTCAGCACAGGACCTAGGCGCTTCCTCTGGACGCAACAAACCCAAGGCACCCTGGGGGGTTTTGATGCTGTCTGCTTTGCAGAGTCAGGTAGGTGCAGCTAGAACCGGGGAGGTCAGTGGAGCTGAAGGCGAGGAGAGTGAGTATGAAGTGGACTTGCAGGAGACAGAGAACCAGGAATCAAGCTGTGATGCAGGAGACCAGGATGTAGACAGAACGCCATCCCCTGGCGCTTCAGGAAGAAGGCGGACTATGTCAAACACAGCTGCTCATAAAGTGACCCAGCTGCCATTATCTGCCTCTGATGCTCAAGTGGGGGTCTTAAATAAGGTCACGACAGTTTACGTGACAGTGGGTAAAGCAGGTAGGCCTGTGTCGAAGACTGAATCCAGCTCCGAAGGCCCCGTTCAGGCCATGCTGCGACGACTAGGCAGCCTGCAGAGACAGAGGGAGCAGGAGTCCAGTCGACCAAAGCCTGAGGCAGCTGAAGCGATCATCAAACCACCGAGGAAGAAGCTCGGAGCTCGGGCGAGTGTGTGGGAACAGGGGAGTCCGTCTGGAGGGGAGGTAGGCATATGTAAGCCAATCAGGAGAAAGCATGCCGCTCTCAACAACCCTGACTCAACAGGTGCATGTGACACTCCATCATCAGAGAGCGGCACTCCAAAAAGACCGCTCTCGTTCATTTTGCAGAGTGTGCCAGAGGTGGGTTCCGCTGACTCAGGGTCTGATCTGAGGGCTGAAGGATGCTCCGGTACAGGAAACACTGAAAGCACCTACCTGACTGTGGGACCAGTAGGAGACGCGACGTGCCTCACCGAGGTCATCGCCAATGAAGCTGCAGTGGTCAGTGTGAGCGATGAACCCTGCTATGAAAATGTCTGCATCAACCACTCATAACCTCTGGAAATCCTCACATCAGCAGGTCTGATCCAAACACAACAACATAATCTGCAGCCGAAACACTACAGGCCCAAAGTAAAAAAAAAAAACATACCTACTGTAAAAAGGTATATGATCTACAGAACATACACAAACCACATGAAATGTATTTTTGATTTAAGGTAAATGTTAAAAAAGAAACAATGTAGGTTTTCCTTTGGGATCATAAATCCAGTGGGTAACAAGGGCCGAGCTACAAAACAGTACAAGGACTAAATAATGTGAATGCTTATTATTTTTATTTTTTGTAGTGAAGTGATTTACTAATAATATTGTACTAATTGTATGCATACAAGTACTGTACTTCAGGCCTGTGTCGACTTCTTGACACAGGAGGAATTAACATACATAATGATGAGATAATCGTCTTTTAAGGGAATGTAAAGAAATATATATTATATTTGTATTTTTACCAGAAAGACAAGAGCAAGCAAAGTAAATTATTGTAGTAGTTGTTGTAAATGCATCAACTGTGTACATGGTTCGAGAGGAAACAGATGTAATTTAATCACCAGAATGAGATTGGAGTCAGCTGCTGACGTCATGTTTTTATTGGTCATGGATGAAAAACACACAGCCACAGACTGTGTTTACACAATGAGTACACGATACATCCTTAAGATACGTTTAAAGCTTGTAAAATACAATATAATTCCATTAACAGTGTATCGTAGTAGACGTTTTTGCCCTCTTATACCAGGCAGAAGATATCATAAAGTGTTAAAAAATGTTTCCACATCTACGTCCTGACCTTTGCTGTTGACACAAAACACCCACCATTTAATACAACTACAGATATGTCTTTACATTCAAGGGGACAACTGTACAACTTTACACTAAAATCGTATGTCCCTTTATCGTATAATACCTGTATCATGTTATGAATGTTCATTTTTCTCACTGTTAACTGTATCTATGTTTACCACTGATAAAGCAAATAAACATGTTCTAGTTTATAGATACACCTCCCTGAACTGTAGAGTACACAGTGCTGTGGTGGAAGAAGTACATATATTTATATTTAATATAAGTAACAATACCAATCTGCAAAAATACTCTTTAAAGGAATACATTTCCTGTATTCAAAGTTATTTTTCTTGCCTTTTTGCCTTTATTAGATGAGGCAGCTAAAGAGAGACAGGAAATAGTGGAAGGTGAGAGAGTGGGGGATGACACGCAGCAAAGGGCCAAGGTCGGATTTGAACCCACGGCTTCTGTGACGAGGACTATAGCCTCTGTACATGAGGCGCACAACATACCCGCTAGGCTATCAGTGCCCCAAAATACTAAAGTTTAAACAGCAAATGAACTGAACATCATAAAAGTATAAACACAATGGGCAAAGTGACACTTTTGTAAAAGATAAACACTCATTTGAATCACATTGTTTAAGTCTTTCTTCCGATGTAAGCAGCGTTTTTAAATCACAGCAGGTTGAGGTGGAGAGAACTTTAACTACTTTATAAACGGATTAGTTAGAAGTTGTACTGTGCTTTGTAAGTTGATTATCTGTATTTATGAAAGTATTCTGCAAACTAACAGTGTCCAAAGTTGTTATATAAATGAAGTGTAGTAAAACACTGTAAACGGTGCTATAGCATAAAGTAATATAGTAAAGTACTAGTAAAGTATAGTAGTAGTATGAGTGTTAACATATTTACTAAAATACACAATCAAGACTATTTTCAGTGAAGTTGTGTTTAATAAGCAGGTCAGCTGATGTTCACAACGCAGTTCAGAAAATCAACCAGCTGGACTTTGACCACTGATCTCCAATATTTACTGAAGCTAAAGATCAACTAGTTGTTTATTACACTGAACATGTGTGACACACTTTTCCCATTTCTAATACATCTTGTGCAAAGACTGAAAAGATCTTAGACTACTTCTCTGCCCCTGTGGTGCCTGAGCAGCCAAGCCAGTACTTGGCGATGGACCTGGGGTATGGAGGCATGGCGGGGTCGACTCTCTTGGTCTTCAGGTCCACTCTGTAGTATTTATCTATAAACACAGAACATGAGATCATCATTTCATTGAGTCTGCAAACCTAACTTTCAATAACTCTCTGCTGTTATAAGCAGGAAAACACCCTTTATTAACTATCAGTCTTGTCTTTAACCAGTCATGGGAACTTCAGTGATTTAATGTATCTGTTTCTTTGTTACAAAGCATGAGAAACCAGTTATTAAAGGCCTTCTGTGGCAGAGCTGGGGGATGTTTAATGAAATTATAGAGTTTCTGTCTCCATCTGTAGTTCATCTCACAGAGGTTTTATTTCCTCTGTTCTTCAAAAATGATGAATTATGATGCTTGTGTTTTTTTTATTGAGGTAAGAAGTCGACATAGTAGCAAAATGTGCATAAAGACAAACATACTGGATGCAGCATAATGAAACTGTGGACTTCTTTTCTTTTGTGCTCTTTTTGATGTGCTCTTTGTTCCTCTGGTCAAATGACTTCCCTCCTGTCTTTGGATAATGAAGTTGAATTAGATTTAAATGCAGCCTCGTGAGAGATTTGCTGTTCGTTATCAAAAGTTTGATTAAATTGCAGCTAGCTCTGTGCTAACGGACATTTGGATAACTGTAAAAAATACTGAAATAAATAGATAATTAAGTGGATGCTTTTTTTTTTACATTATCTCTTGTTATTATTCATCATAAAGAAATCAAAAAAGTTCACAGGTTGCTTGTTTTTAAACCTTTAACATCTATATATTCCACATGTAGCCTGGTGGAGAGATTGATTATTTAGTTTGACAAACAGTCCAGGTGAAAAGACAAACCAAAGACACTAACTTCTTCCAGAATTTTCTAACACTTTAAATAAAATATAAGTTTCTGTCTCTTATGCATCCCGTTAAGAGAGCAGTTATAAACTTGCTTATTTTTTTAAGTGTACGTTCACCTGAACACGGAAATGTATATTTACTTGTTTTGGTTGTGCCGTAATGTTTTGTAGTCGTCAATCTTTTCCTTGTTTTTCCACCATAGTTACTGATAACTTGTAATATTTCAAGACAGAAAAAGGATGCTGCTGCTTCACACATGAGTGAGTATGTTGTGATACGAGGTCTTCCTTTCCCTCTGAATGTCACAACTCGCAGTTTTTAATACTGCAATCTCAAGGTCGATTACCACTGAGTTACCTCATTCAGCAATTGACGGTGAAATGGCAGATATTTTTCTTTACACGGGCATCGGTTCACAGCAATGGAAGTAGACCATTATAGTTTTAAGATTGAATGATTTTAATCTGTTGTTGAATGATTAAATATGAATTATTTTTACTATGCTGTTAATGAATGTATCCTGGCTGTGTTACCTCCTTTAAAGAAGTAGACGCTCTGTATGGGCAGACGGACCACCTGCAAGACAGACTTGTCTCCTCTGTTGTTCTGTCTGTTACTGTCCCTCCGTCTGTCCTGGTCCCGGTCTTGCCTGTCCCAGTCCCTGCCGAGCCTCTCTTCCATCTCCATCCTCCTCTCTGCCAACCTCAGACCCATTTCCATCCCCCGTTCTGCAAACTCCTGGCCCATGTTCATCCCCCGCTCTGCCATGGTACCCCAGAAGGGAGAACGGCTCTGCCTCCTTCGACCCCACTGCTGCCCGTACTGCTGGTCCCACTGCTGCCCGTACTGCTGGTACTGCCGGTTCCACTGCTGGCCTTGCTGTTGATTCCACTGCTGATCAGGCAAGTAGTCGTTGCGGGATCTTGGTGGTGTGACGTAAATTCTGCCCGCCATGGCAGCATCCAGAGGAGACTTGAGGCCCTTCCAGTCCTTGTCGATGAAATGGTGTTTGTCGTGATGCTGAGGCACTAAATAACGTTAGAAGACATTAAGCTGTGCAAGAGACAACATCTACCTGCTGCTAAACATAAAAATTAACGCCTTAAACCATAACTCACAGTCAGAGAAAAGCTCACTGAAGAAGTGCTCATAGTTGTTGTAGTAAACATCAGTGTAATGTCTGAACAGAGTGGAGGGAGACCTCTCAGACATGGAGACGCACTCCTCATGAGATGGCTGGTGCAGAAACTCGTACATGTGATACTGATCCCCTGGGGAACCCAACAAGATACCAAACAAATTAAAATAATTGACATTTGAGCAACTTCATGTTAAATATACTGGAGAAATAACAGGAGACGTTGCATAATATATGGCTGTACCTTTGAAAAAATACACCCTCTCTTTCCCATTGTGACCAGGAGCAGGCAGAGCAAACGCTGCATCCACATGATCAGGAATCTTATCAAAGCCCACACTGATATCTCGAGGGTAGTCGTCATCCAGCACACCGTCATCAAACCTCCAGTACTTGTTCCCCTGATGAATGTTTGGTTTGATATAAACATTAAACTTTCACAGACGGCATCAGACATTCTTTCAATTTCAATTTCATTTCCTACGTCCCCACCTTGAAGATATAAGTCTTCCCTTGACAGTTGACCCGGGTGAAGGCAGCATCAATGGGCCCACTGATCCCCCACACGTCCTTTATGAGCTTTGGATAACCAGGAAGAACCGACTTCTGGTCCAACTCGAAAAAGTAGTCCCCTACAACAAAACAAGTTCCTCACAGTAAGAAACGTTATTTTTAAACTCCTTTAAATGTCAGATGACCATATTTCCGTATTAAGGGATTACATTTCTACATGTAGTCACTCACCTCTGAAGGCATAAATGGAGCCATTCTTTAGCTGCATGAAGGAGTCAAAAGGCCGCTCACTGCAGACTTTTGCGTCTGGGTCAGGGGCCTCAGTGGTGGCCGTTGTCACAGGAACAGTGGTTGTCTCAGCTGCTGTTTCAGTCTCAGTGGGTTGAGGAGTGTTGGGGGATTCCTGTGTGGTTGGGATCAGTTGTGAAATGAGCGGAATTTGTATGACGGGGCTTCTTGGAAGAATGGCATACATCAGTCGAGGGGGTCTGGTCATTTCTGGTGTGGTTTCTGGACGCTGCTGTGGTCTGAAGTCTGACACGGGTCGTCGTGTGGGCTCCTGCTGACGGCTGCGGGAGGTGAAAGACTGGCCTGGTAAAGGCAGTTCAGGGGCTTGAGTGGGGCTTTCATCATCATCGTCCTCTGCTAACTCAAAAGTGTCTCCACGAGCTGAAAAAAAAAATGGATAAACCATTATTCGCTGCACCATTTTGACTCAAAACAAGAATGCTGTTTCTTTAAAAACACTTTTCTTACTTGTCATGCCACAGGTGACCTCAAAGTCGGAGCAGCAGCTCTTGTAGTACTTGCACATGGAGTCACACTGGCACGTCCTCAGAGAGTCAAAGCCATTCTCACAGCGATTCATACAGGACTCTAGGCGTAAATGACAAAATAAGGAAAATGGATCATCTCCATTTATTTACGTTATGATGTTTTTCTGTTCTCTCTCTGATCCTCTGGCTAAATCAATTTCCTCCTTGAGATAGAAAATGTATCTTGGATTTGATTACAGCCCCCATGAGCTTTGACAGCATGCCAGTGACAAAACATTTTTAACATTGTCTTTCCTGTGAAGTTGTCTCTGTCTATTTGAGTCATCGTCTTGTATCCTGTTTGTAATCAAAACTATACTTTTTGCTGAAACAGACACGTAGGCTACTAGATTTAAGGATCAATTGTTCTTATACTGTCTTGATTGCATATCAACGTATTATGCCAAACATTTGCAGTATCCAACTCAAAAGCACAAAAGGTGCTGCATTCTTATCATTACAAACTCTATGTTTGAAACACGAGAATCTAAACCGCTGGTCAAACAATAGAAGCATTTTGAAGACTTAACTTTGTCTTGTGGGCATTGTGACCACGATCTATTATTATTCTTGTTTTATTCTTGATATGAAATGATTGATTTTAGTTGCAGTCACTGTACAGTATATCTACTTGTGTAGACATCTGCCTTCAAAGTCTATCCAATAAGACTCATGGTTTACACTACAGATGAGAGTAATTCATATGTTGCTGGTTTCTTATTGGTGTCGCTGCTAATGGAAATGACCAGACTCTTACTCAGACTTCAGTTCACAGGCTGCTCAGTCTGACTGTAACATAACGACTACAGCCAACTGTTCTGATGAGCTAGATAAAAACTCCTCTAATACTTATTTGAACTTACAAAATGATTTTAAATGTTTCACTTACCATCAGCAGCCAAAGTGTGTGTGATCAGAGCGAGCAGCAGCACGGCGGCCCACAGCCTCATGTTGCCTCTGTTGTGTGTTTGAACAGAATGACACAGTAACGACGGACTGTGTGCTCCCAATCATTGGAAACATGTGTCAGTCACCCCGCATCCTTGTTAACTTTAACTCTATTTGCAAATCTGTCACTACTAGAGCAAATAAACAGACAGAGAGAGAGAGAGAGAGAGAGAGAAAGAAATCAATAGGAAACAAGACTTTATGTAATGACCTCTGTTGACCTCTGACTGTGCACTTTTAGCAATTTACTGCTAGGTGAGACATTTAAACTACAGTGCTCACAGATTTCACTTTCCAGAATGAGCAACTTAATCAGCATCATCCTCTTTTTTTATTATTACATTCTTACTTTCTTTCAGTTCTAGACTTGAGTTTAGCTTGTAACATGATGTAACTTGATGTCACTGGGAGGCCTCAGTGAGGACACAAGAGCAAAGTACCGGTCTGCGTTGCTGTCTTGCAAAACAGTGTGACACAAAGTCACAAGATAACAAAGACTTTTACAGCAGCAGAGTAAAAGTGTGTAATGCTTAAGCGGCGGTGTTAAAGGGCGATGACATTAAACTGCAAAGACAGCTGAAATATTAGTACAACATAATTATTTATTTAGGTTTAACATTGTTAAAGCTTATCTTGGATCTTGCTGACCCCACCCCTCTTGATATAGGCTTCAAAAAATGTATGAACACGTACCAATTATAAGCACTCTCCTTGTCACAGTTCTGTAGGTATGTTTCAGATTGAACTAACATATTTTCACATTTCTGAAGATCAATATTTTTTAATAACTTTAAAAAATATTGACTCAACTGTTTAAAAATGCATGTTAAGGCACAATCAGCTGGGAGTTTAGATGTACTCTGTGGGTCCTCTGACACAGTATCTCTCTATACAGGCCATACACCAGGAACACGCTCTCTAAATAGTTTAGATTAACTGTGTTTTTCCACATTTAATTTATTCAGTTAACATTATATAATAACATGACATTATAAAATGCTCTCAGAAGTGCCATATTTAGAGGGGGAAACGATGAATTCTTTAATATTTATATGTCTGCTTGTTTATAGAAGCAGTGACACTAAATGTAAAAATACTGACATTGGCATTGTGGCCTAAAACACAGGAGTTGATATAGATTTTTAATAAATTCAATGTTAGTTTAAGTCCCATGCCGAAAATATTTCAATCACCATTTCTTGGATTTTCTTTTTTTTGTTTTTCATTTCAATTAGTTTTCAATGCAGACAAATGACATGTATTTGCAGCACATTTTTCAAGTAAACGATCTCTTAATAATATATACACTTTAAGCCTAAGTGTGCCAGCCAACTCCATTTTTATATAGGCCTAGCTATTTCCAGTGGTAATTATAGAATGATATAAAAATAAACTAACATTTGGCAAACATAAATTATGATCAGAGGTTATTCTCCAGTTTGTCCAGCAGATGGCGTGTGTTGTTTAGAGCAGCCCGGTGATGAGCATGCTCTGACCGGCTGTGATGCAGGGAGAAGAGGGAGATGGGCGGGGGAGGGGGCTTCTTATTATCCGCTCTTCCCTTGTACTATCCCGAGCCGGTGGGCGGTGCTGAGACCACTGGAGATACACAGACCGACCGGCTGATGCTGCTGGCCGAGGAATGCGATAGGTCAATCGGGATGCTTTTTCACAGGGGTGTCATATTTTGGCAGGTGACGAGCCGCTACAGTGTGTCAGATAACTTGGAAGAAGAACGTGTTTGAGGAAAAACAGGCCTTCTTTGTCTGCAGAAGGTCAGTGACACAGAGACAAGACAACAAAAGACAATTTACTCTCCGGACAACAAGTAGGAGTGGTTTCTTGGGCTTGTCAGACTGAGGCACTGGTCTTAGATGTTTCCCCTTTAATGTCTTTTCTGTAAACATATTCCGTCATTGTATCAGGTGAGGTCTGGGCTGGTGGGATGATAATGAGACAAAGCAGCAGCTGCTGAGGCAGGACTATGCGCAGGGAAGATCCAGATCTGCTTATGAGTGTGTACGCGCTTAATGCCGGACATGACAGCAGCAGAGAGCGGTGATGCAATTTGATGAAAGCTGTCAACATTGATTACAACAGCTTGGCGCATCTGTGAGTGTTTACAAGGCGGATATCACACCGGAAAACACTGACAATATTTGAGGCCTGTTTAAAAAACATCGACCTGTTTCTGCTGGTAGATGCTCTTTTCTCTTGCTCTCTTCCTGTGGAGGCTCTATCGACATTTCTCCATCATGTTCAGCACAGACAGACTCACAGTCCCAGAGTATGTTAGCCGGCTGCAGAGAGGCAGGAGCGGCTCCGGCTCGGACCCTAAAGCTGTTTCTCCGGGCATCAACGCGGACGTCCAGGCGGTTTTGGGCAGCTCGCTCCCCGCCCTGCGTTGCGCCATCAGGAGGCTGAAGTCAGCAAATGAAACGTCTGACTCAGAAGAGACCCGCGGGGCCATCGCAGAGATTTTCCAGCTGGTGGAGGAGGCCTGGGTCCTGCCCACTGTAGGCCGTCAGGTGGCCGAGGAGATCTGTAACAGGATCCGGCTAGATGGAGGCCTGGAGCTGCTGCTGCAGCTTCAGCAGATACCTGCTGTGGAGATCACCTATGAGTCTGCAAAACTGCTGGAGCAGATCCTCATCTCAGAGAACAGGTAAAGCGTGAACAGGGATAAACAAATGACATGAACACCTTTTTGAATATTACACTGTCTTACACAGCAGCACTGCTATGAATAACTAAGTAAGAGTTCAGCTTTAAGTGTGTAAACTGCATCACATTGTTCAATGAGACAACACATGCATCTTAGAATGTAATAATACTAAATGCATACTGTATATGTAAAACAGTAGTAGCAAAAGTAGAACAATGTGTTTATGGCATGTGATATACCCAGGACAAAACTGCATAGACCACATATCAAAAAATATTAACCTCATTCTAAAACCTTAATATGACCAAATGATTATAATTATTGTTTAAGCCCGGATTGATTGACAATATTGTTGTTGTCTTACAATCATATTTGCCTCGCTTTATCAGGAGTATGTCCTTAAATCCTTTAAGATATAGTCCAGCTAAGTGATTGTTTTAGTAAAATTTTGTACAACCACATTGAGGGCGGCAGTGGATTAGTGGTAGAGATGGTTGTCTCTCAAGCAAAGGTTGGTGGTTCAATCTCCAGCCCTTAAAGTCACATATAGAAGTGTCTTTGGGAAAGAAGACAGCAACTTGTGAATGTGTATGAATGGATTAGTTTATATACTGATGGGCACTTTGATTAAGAGCCTCTGCCATTAGTATGTGAATGTGGTATGAAGGGATAAGTGTGACCTGTGGTGGAAAAAGCGCTTTGGCTAGTAGTCTGAAGACAAGAAAAGTGCTATACAAGCGCAAGTTCATTAACCATTTAAAAACTCCTGTTGACAGAGACTACATTGCCCGTCTGGGTCTTGGGGTTATCCTCAACCTGACTCGACAGCAGGAAGACGCTCAGCTTGCCCGCAGTGTTTCAGGGATCCTGGAGCACATGTTCAAACACACAGAGGAGACATCTGTCCACCTCATCTCTAACGGGGCCCTGGACGCACTCCTCTTCTGGTGCAGAGGTACAGACCCCACTGTACTGCGCCACTGTGCTGTGGCTCTAGCAAACTGTGCTATGTACGGAGGCCACCGCTGCCAGAGATGGATGATCGAGAAACAGGCAGCTGAGTGGCTTTTTCCGTTGGCTTTTTCCAAAGAGGATGAACTCATTCGCTTCCACGCATGTCTGGCTGTTACTGTGTTGGCGGCAAACAAAGAAATTGAGAAGGAGGTGGTGAAGTCTGGAACCTTGGAGCTGGTGGAGCCATTCATTGCGTCCCTGGACCCGGATGACTTTGCCCGCAACTTATTGGACAGTACGGACAGCATGCAGGGTAGGACGGCATCTGATCTGCAGCATCTTCTGCCTTTACTGGATGGCACAAGACTTGAGGGAAAGTGCATTGCAGCCTTTTACCTTTGCGTTGAGTCAAGCATCAAGTCTCGTCAACGCAACACTAAGGTACATTCCCTGTTTCCTTTCTACAAGACTTGAGATATATCACTGTCTGGTAGAGTTGTGACTGAATTTAATTTTGTCTTCCTTTGAAGATATTTCAAGAGATTGGAGCAGTGCAAAGTCTAAAGAGAATCGTCATGTACTCCAGCAATGGCACAGCCTGTTCCCTTGCCAAGCGGGCGCTAAGTCTGATGGGAGAGGAAGTGCCGAAACGTATCCTATCAAGTGTGCCCAATTGGAAATCCTGTGAAGTCCAGAGATGGTTGCAGCAGGTTGGCTTTAGTGCCTATTGTGACCGTTTCCAGGTATGTTCAAGCATACAGTGAGTTAGAAGTATAAAGATCCTTCTATTGTATACAATGGCTGATATCTCTCGCTCTCATCGTCTTCCAAAATAGGAGCTCCAGGTGGATGGAGACCTCCTGCTGAACGTCACAGACCAGGATCTGAGTGCAGATCTGGGCATGACTGCAGGACTCACTCGCAAAAGGCAAGTGGTACAAACATTTCAATAAGTGCCTGACTGTGAATTTATGACTGGTCTAAAAATGTCTATTTTCTGTCTCACCTTCAGGTTTTTGAGAGACTTGCGAGTGCTGAAGACTACGCCAACTACTCCACATGTGACCCAAACAACATGGCTGATTGGTTAGCTGATGTTGACCCTCGATTCCGTCAGTACACCTACGGGCTTGTCCAGTCAGGAGTGGATCTCAACAATGTCCAACACCTGACCGATCAGCAACTTCAGCATGACTGCCACGTTGTCAACGGAGTCCACAGGGCTAAGATGCTGTCCTTTAGCCGCAAGCCCTCAAAACCGTGTCACACTGATGCCCAGCCAACAGGGCCTGATGTTTTTATCAGCTACCGTCGGACTACGGGCTCCCAGTTGGCAAGGTCAGAACTGATACATGATTAATTCAGTAAGAGAAATGTGTAAAATATAAGGGGCCAGGAAAAAGGCAAGGCAAAAATAGTTGGTTTCTTCCACACTGCTCATTTTGACTGACTTCTTATTTCTCCGTGTCCAAAGTCTTCTGAAGGTGCACCTACAGGTCCGAGGATACAGTGTCTTCATTGATGTAGAAAAGCTAGCGGCTGGTAAATTCGAGGACAAACTGATTCAGAGTGTACAGAGGGCAAAAAACTTCATCCTGGTGCTGTCCGCCAATGCGCTCGACAAGTGCATGGGTGACACTGCCATGAAAGACTGGGTGCATAAGGTAAGCATTTGTCCATTCCTTCGGACCCATGTTGACATTTCAAGTCTTGATTTATCCAAAGTTTCACTGGAAACATCAACCTGTAACCTTATCAAGGTGTTCCAAATGTATATTGTTACAACAGCTAAAAAGATTCAGCTGGAATCCTTCAAATCAGATTGTTTAAGGGTGCATACAACATCTAGACCGTTTGCAATGAACCTAGCTATGTCTTTAAGTTGTATTTTGAAATTTCCATGCCTTGATTCAGGGACTCAGTCCATTTTGGAATATCTTTTAAGAACCCCAAAAGTATCATCAATCACTGATCATTATTGGTTACATTTTGTTCTTTAGCTGCAGTGCTACTGATTATGAAGTTATAGTTTTACATTCTCATTGGTAGGCCACATGTCCATACTAGAACTCCGCACATTTTCTAGGTAACATATTCTTTTAATACTTTCAACATGATCAAACATATCACTAGCTGTGGTTTTCTGCTGAATGACAGAAATCAACTCTTTGTGCTAACGTGTTGGTCAAGCTGCATTAATACTCCCTGTGTGAACTCTTACTTGAGATTACCTGTCACATAAATATTGTTGTTTAAAAGAAAGGATCAGTTGTTACTATGCTTGCAGCTGGTTCGAGGGATTCGAGGATAATTTGTCTTGATATTGCATTTTGCTGTTTTACACACTCAAAGGGACTTTGATTTATTTTGCAGGAGATAGTCACAGCCCTGGCTGGGAAGAAGAACATAGTACCTGTTACAGACAATTTTATGTGGCCTGACCCCATGTCTCTGCCAGAGGACATGAGGGCAATACTCAACTTCAATGGCATCAAGTAAGTCCCCAAAATCTCTGAAAACTCAAATAAACCCAAAACTATAGCTTTAATTTTTATCCGAAATCCCTTTCTCAATAGGTTTAACAGCTGAAGTAAGAGTTTAAGTTTTGCTTGCGTGAGCACTACAGTTTCCATTTTCAGGCTAAGATCATTAATATATGAAAGCCTCTTTTATTTCTGAATAATGAATACAACCTGATTATTGTTTGGAAATAGTATTGAATTACAGATCATTTATTCAAATATCCATTATCCATAAGTATCATTGAATGCATGTTGTCTCTTTTAAACACAGATGGTCCCATGAATACCAAGAGGCCTCTATCGAGAAGATCTTGCGCTTTCTGAAAGGACAACAAGACCAAATGGATGCAAAAGATGCCTCCAAAGGGCAAAAAAAAGAAACAAAGTGATGTAAACAGTTTGATTTCAGTTTTAATAACTTCCAATGATGCCAAATTTCAACATCGTCAATTGTGAGCTGGCTGGCATCTGATTAAACTCGGCCCAAATGCATGTGAATAAGATTACATGCTCACAAACAAAAGACGTGATATCCTGCAAAACAAAAACTGAAACAATAAAAGGATATATGTATATAAGAAACTGTGCGCCTTTAACGATAGTGCCCTCACACTGCTGTATATGTGCAATCAGGTCCAGTGTATGCCTTTTGTATCTCAGGAATAGAACTGTGATAGATCAGCCTTCATTGGCACCCAGCAGTTATTCAAACAAACAGCAATTTCTACTAACACATTAGTCTGAATAAAACTATAAACACTCATCATTGTTTAACCCACACACTGTACATTGTCATAGCCAAAGTAGGTCTCTGAGTTACTGATATTTATGTTTTGTTAATGTGTCAGAAATATGAAAAGAAACCTTTTTGTGATTATGGATGATGGTAGAGTCCAAAAGTGGGCGTAACTCAAAGATGAGGGCCTGAGGTATTGTACAGAAATAAATGAGCTACATAATGTATAAGTGCAACCCTAATTTAAGCAAATATTGATAAAAGGGATGCACGTTTCACTGCAGTATTAAACATTTCCTTCCCTTTGTAAAAATGGGTAAAATGCAGTGAAAGAGCGTTTATTCTGTTTTGAACACTCTTGTTGTCGGCAGTTACAAAGTAGTGTACTTCACTCAGCTTAATTACAACAAACAAGGGGTTTATCAACACAGATTAGTCTGTGTTTAATGCTAAATCTGCTTTGTTGTTGAAAATTCACCCTTGAGCCCCTGCTGTGCTAAAAAGAAGCGGGGAAATGGAAACAATAAAATCGAGCAATATAGAGCACTGAGGCTTTTGCAAATATAGAGAACAAATTGCAAAACATATATAAACACCTGTTCAGACAAAGATCGATACAAATATACATCAATGTTGCTTGAATACATTAGTGATGAAATCTGTATTTAGTCTTGCAAAATAACCAAATCAAGCATCAACGTGTTTGTCATGTAATGTTTGTTCAATTATTCCACAAAAGGCTGAACGCAACTGCTGTTCAACTGTCATTTTTTTGATCTAGTCTTCTAAGTGTTTTTTGTCCATTATAAGTTATTGTATTATAATAAACATTGTCCCTGTAAAATAAAACTTTTTCTTCCAAGTAGTAAATCACGGTTTATTTTTACAATGATGTCTTTACTGTGAAACAAACACATTTCAGCCAACGTTCTCTCAACATGATGAAGAATAAAATGTGTTGGGGAGAAAAAATGAAGGTCAAATCTTTTATTTTTACTTCATTAAAGTGTCTGACATATGAACAGAAAACAAATTTAACCAATATCTTTATCACAAACATTTAAAATGAAGAGGTTTATTTTTCGATAAATAACAATGCAACACATAAATATTGCACACCTGATTAGGATGAAGGAATAACAATCTTTTAGGTCAGTTTTTTATCTGTCTGCACAATGGCTTTGACCAGATTAACAAATCGAACTGTCGCCCAGAGTCTAAAACAATCTGCATGCAGATCAATTCACTTAACCTTTAGACCCCCCTCGTGCATTTTGAAGCTGATTTGGCATCTCCTGTTCCCTCACTGTGCCACCAGGACCTGACCCCTTTGTGCATGTTGGCCGTGTGGGGCTGTGCTCTGGGACTATCCAGTGTTGTTTATGGCAAATGGAGTGGAGGGGAGGGAGGGAGGGGGGGGCTATTCAACGAGTTTGGACCGTGCTCTCAGCTTCATAGAGAGAGATGGCGGTTACATTTCCCCTCACTGCTGTGTATTACCGATGACTCTGTTTTAACATGTTTGGCACAGATGATTTATCTTTATAAGGCAATACCATTAATCTAAGGTACTTGGCCTTGAAGTACACAGATTTGAATTCAGCAAAAGTGGAAGTACCACAGATTAAAACGTCTACATTAAACATTTAGTAAAAGTACATAAAAATATGCTAGTCATCAGTGAGAATGACCTGATTCAAGTAATGAACTATTCTACACATTATATCTTTAGATATTCAAATTGATGCTTTCATGTGTGTGCACAGCTTTCATTATGCAAAGGTTGAAAGGCAGAGCTCATTCTGAATACATGATGTGTTGCTGCGTAGCTTGGGGAATTGGATTGTATGAGATCCATAAAGTCTAATCTTATCTTAACCTGTGGCATTATAAACTAAGTAGTAACGTTATGTAAGAAGGGAAAGGTACAAAAACAACTGTCATTGTTGTTCAGTAGAAGCATTGAGTTGCAGAAAAAAATGAAATGCTCAAACACTCTCTAACTCTGTACACAGAAAAAGAGTGTGAACGTGGTCGGTAAAAACAGCCAAATCTTACTGTTCATCAAATCCAGCCGCTAACCTTTGAGCTGAATGAACGTATATTTAGATCTTATATATTTTACAAACACTAATGTTCACCCACCTTTTGGGAATTTCACTTTCTCAACTTCCATAGACTATAAGTGAGATAGAGCGGGTTGTCCACTTATTGGTACATCAGTGGTTCTTTGCTTTTCCAGTCAACATGTCATGTGTCCTTTTTTTTAATTTTTTTTTAGAAATACTGTGATTTCTTTGGCAATATCCTTATCCTAGTTTTGTATTTGTATGTATGCAATCTATCTATCTGTGTGTACAAATAGGCTTCAAAATCTGCAGAAACTAAGCAATCTTTTATATTTCCACTACAATTCAAGGTGTATTCATCTTCAGAGAAATGATGAGGCTTTATCATGGCTAATGAACTATTCTACACATTATACTCTCGCAGCTTACAAGAAACATTTTGGAAAAGAATGTTTAGATATAAAAACATACAAAATCAAAACAAACAAAAAAGTCAGAATACTTGTTGAGTAAAAGACTCAAGACTAATAAACATCAGTATAACAGTGGGCTAGCAATAAAGGTGATTATTTCCAACAAGCTTATTGCTTATATGCTTATCCTTTTGTCATTAAAAACTGCCTTCTTTAGGCAGTGCTTGTTTTTAGGGAAGCACACCTGTGTCAGGTGACTGAAATGTTACTATAAATCATTTAAATACATTACATAATACCCATATGGTTTGATATGCTTTATTTTTAACAACTTCTGTTAAGCTTATTCAGTCAAGTGTAAATCGTTTTGAGTCTCAAACATCAATAAATGTCTTGATGAAATATCTGAACACAATGGTTTGTTTTTTAGGATAATGAATGATTTAGAAAGGCCCTCATTCTCCACTATTTCATCATAATAGCAGAGGAGTTTATGCATAATGTAAGTCAGTACTGTAGGTTCATTCTTGGTTGGGTCTTGATCACCTTCCTGTGACTAAGATGAAGAATCCCGATAGCAGTCAGCTTCTCCGTCACTGTGTCAAAATCAAAAGTCTCTCCAAACACATCAGGTCATGTGTGTCAGAGCTACTCACCTCACCTTTAACTCTCTGACAGGTTCTTGCCCTCTCTCGCTCTCTCTCTCTCTCGCTCTCTCTCTTCAGGTCAGGACACCAAGGAGTCTCTGTGGCCTTTCTTGGAGTCGAAACACTGCATGAAACTGGAGAATCAAATATACCAAAGGGTTATGATCTCTTCCTCTCATTGATGTATGTATTCTGATTGTTGTGTTTTGTAAGCTTAGCTACTTAAACTCAATAATAACATTACTTTATCTTTGTGACTTCAAAAATGAATGGTCTATTAAAGTTTTAACAATTTTGAAGAAATGCAGATTCGCCACAATCCACTGGCACATGGTGGACCACAGTAAATGCTGGCATGATGATCAAATCCTTTTTATTTGTTTATTTGTTAGGATCCCCATTAGCTGTATGCTAGAGCTCAGCTATTCTTCCTAGGGTCCACATTAAAAAAAAAACATTAACAGGAATATAAAATGTTAATTGAAAACATAATTAAGCTCCACAGACCACACAAACCATCCTAATTTTTATTCAATTATATATTGCACGCCAAGTTCTGGCTGATTTGTAACTTGTATTATTATTAAAGAGTAATTTCATGAGCACTGGTACATAGTACAAAAGCAGCAGGACTTCTAAGCACAGGTATCACTCCACCTTAAATGAAGGATGTGCTGTGAATGTACGTAACAGACAGCAGCAGAGGGCTTTTGTCTGGATGATTAAGCTGGTGCACTGAAATCACAACCCCCCCCACCACCACCACCAAAAAGAACGCACAGAGGGCAGGAAAATGTTCATATGTTATTTGGCAATAGTTCAGTTTGATCCAGTGTGTGAAAATAGTCTATTTAGTGAAGCAATCTTAACGATTCATTTAACAATATGTTGTTGCTTATCAGTTTCTACTGCTGTTGTAAAAAAGCAATATCACACTCTAGGTCGTGCTGTTGCACTGAACATCAGCATGCTGTGATTATCTTTGGAACAAGGTCGAGCTGTGCTGACATTCAGTACAACAGCTCTCTCTCTCATGTGATATGTGTCGTTAGGTTGTAAGCGTTATTTGTTGTCAATGCAGTTTGAACAAGAAAACTTTTGAGCAATGAAATCAAACACATACTCTCTTGAATGTATCCTTGTTGTTTCCACATTACAGCTTAAGGCTTATAAAAACTGAAGTCAGAAGAAAAACTAAGCAACTCGACAACTAATAACAGGGTTAAAAAACAGTAAAATGTTCAAAACTCACCCAATTATCCCAGCGGGGATGAAGAGGAGAATGGCAGCACAGAGGAAAAGGAAACCCTTCATGAAATTCAGCGTGAGTGGATAGAGTGAGTTGAAGAGGCCACTGCCCACAAGAAAACAGAAGCTATCCAAACAGGCAACAGATGCAAACAGGGCGCCTGGGAGAGAGAATAGACACACTGATATGTACACAAACTGCAAGCTAGCTCTCAATTTGAGTTGTATCCTGATCATTTGGTTCATTTACACAAGAAAACAATACACTATTAGTACACTTTTTTTCAACACCATCCTCACATTTTGAAACCATTGCACATTTTGCTGGGTTAAAGACGGCTTGCATTTTGTTCATGTTCAGTGACTGACCTTGTTCTGATTGGGCCACCAGATTAGACAGCTTTGACCTGAGCACGGGCAACGGAGCCATGAAGAGGAACAACAGAGCATAACCTGGAGACAGACAAATATATTTGATACATAATGTAGACCTCAGGCAGGCCAACCCGACTCCCCCCAAGTCACCATTAGTCCCAGTTTTTATTTAATCGGGCATGGCTGTGTGAGGAGATAGAGCGGGTTGTCCACTTATTGGTACATCAGTGGTTCTTTGCTTTTCCAGTCAACATGTCATGTGTCCTTGTTCTTTTTTTTTTAGAAATACTGTGATTTCTTTGGCAATATCCTAATTCTAGTTTTGTATTTGTATGTATGGAATCTATTTATCTGTACAAATAGGCTTCAAAATGTGCAGAAACTAAGCAATCGTTTATATTTCCACTACAATCCAAGGTTCATTTTTGCTGATTATGTCCACAGGGTGTTGGCGGAGCTGGGTGTTTATTGTCTGGTATTCAAGGTTCCCAACAAGCACAAGGTCTCTTCAGTCTGTAACTTGCTGAGCTGTGACATCATGACAATATTTGACTGATAATGTGAGACCAGTTTCACCTGTGGCTGGAAAAAGTGTTCATGTCTTTCGAAACCATTTGGCAGTGCTTGTAAAGCACAAACAAAGGAGCACAGTAAGAGTAAAAGGGAAATGTTCACTTCTTCTGTCATTAAAGCTACTGTGAGAAACTTCAACTGATTTGTGTTGCAGTGACACATAAGAAATATAACTATATAATAATAATCAATCACCTGATGGTCTCCTTTATTTTAGTAGGTCATGTAAAGACAGCATTATTAATTTCAGTCTGTTTTATAAACAGCTGAAAGCTATTCAAAGGAGCTTCACATTGGTATTAAATAAGATTCAAACTTTTTTCTTCAAGGAATAAGACTTTATTTTGTCATATATGTAGTCATGCTTCATAATGGCTGAATATTGTCAATAATGCTAAGATAAATACTTTTTATTTTAATCAATCTTTATTTGTATAACAAATGAATTGTTATGGATATTCCAGTTAAACTTTTTAACAGTCAGAAACCTTGAGCAGAACCAGACTCATGTTGAATAGCCAACTGCAAAAACTGTGTTGGGTTTGTAAAGTGGGATTGAGGTCGTTGCAGAAAGAAGTATGACTCTATTCTAACTTGTCTCACCTGTGAACATGAGCTGGGTGGTGTCAGCCACAGAGAGAACCAGCAGACCAGAGATGTTAGAGACCAGACCCACGACAGCCACCCAGGAGTCCTTCAGGCAGTGCTGCATGAGCTTCAGCCCCATCAGACTGGTGAGGTAGGCCATCTGCTGAGCTGCCGCTCCGTAGCCAATCAGGGCAGAGCCCCAGCACAGCGGTGAGCTCAGCTCATAAAGCACATACAAGTCCCTACTGCCAAAGTGTATGGTCACCACCAGGAAGAAGCTCAGCATGTACAGCCACAGCCTGTATCTGTGAAAGCTTCCCTTTGTCTGACCGCTGATGCCTCCTGTCGAAAAGAGTTGCCAGACGGTTTTATGATGGCGGTAGGTTAGGAGCTTGGCATTTGGGTCTAGCGGGACAGACTCACGGACAAACAGGTAAACATACAGAGCTGTGGCCAAGTTAGTGGCTAGGACCAGCCAGAACGGGTTGATGTACCTAAACACAGGCATAAAAATAAATGATAAAGGGCACATGTATAAATGATGATTTTTTACGCACTATGATGCATATTTCTTACCCTTGAGCCTTTCGCCACTGCCCACCTATAACGCTGGCTAGAATCCCTGCAAGGCCCAGACAAGCCTCCAAGACTGCCACCCTGAGGGTGAGGGATTTTTTGTCACTGATGTCCGCAACATAACAGAAGCAGGCAGCCACGACAGCATTGAATTCCCCTGTGAGGCCACTAAGCAGTCTGCCGATAAGAAACCAGATCAGCGGTAGCTTCAGGTACATGGCTACGAGGTAAACCGCCGCTTGGACGGCCATGCCTAGGTTAGGGATGATGAGGACACGTCTACGACCTGCACTGTCACTCCAAGATCCTAGGAGAGGCACCACCAGTATGCCTACAGAAAAGCCCCCAAGGCTGATGTACAGGTTCCAGTGGGCTGTCAAGGTTTGTACTTGCTGTGAAAACATAAAAAGCCCAGTCAAGCACATTTCTCAGCTGACAGAAAAGAGAAGTTACACTGAGGATATTCAAGTTGTGGTTACTTTGCCTCTATTCAACCTATGATCACATTTATCATGCAAACTTTTTTTTTTTAAATGTTGACCCCAAATAGATGTTTTGGAGAACAGAACACAAAACTGCTGACCTTTAAAACAACGTCTACTGGCTCTCAGTGATTAAGCTGCTTAGTTTCAACTTGTGACTATTGTTCCTCTTTGAGGAAACTGTTCCTGAGTTTCATTTTGCGAGGACAAAAAACAGTATTTTCCATTAATTGGGAAGAGCACATCAAACTGTTTTACAATCAATGCACCTGTTGGCACAGATGATCTACTGGCCTCTTCTGTATGTATGTATGGTCCCATTGCTACTTATTGTAGGCCTACCTGCATTCATGTATTTCAGTGCTGCCTTGCTTTAATGGTACAATAGTGATGTGAGTGTGTTGTTGTTGCATATAAGCACAAACTATTTTTAGTGTTAACATTAATACCCCTCATTGTGTTGCTTTGCATGCTCGCTGTGCTCATTTTGCAAGATCTATTCAATTTCAAGCACTTGACAATGCAACATAAAGATGTTGTGTGTTTGAATCAGTAACATCACAGATGACTATGAAACTGGTGTTCTGGCTGAGAGGAAGAAATGCAGCATTTTGAGACCCTCATTAGTTTCTAATTCATGGTAACTTATTTTCTACAGCAAATAAAGAGGGAAAAAAAACAGTTGAATCTCATATAATCTCAGATAATCCCACTAACCTAAGCAAGCAACTTTAACTTATGTTAAAATTCGAGTAAGTAGTTGAACATGGTATTTACATCATACATATGGCAAATACAACGAGAACAGACTGGGGTTTTCCTGTGAATTTAATGTGAATTGAGTTGAAACAGGATCTACATCAGTACATGAAGACCTAACCTCTTGAAGGGGGTCCGGGGTCAAGGAGCCATTGCAGCTCAACCTCCTGGAGCCATTGTAACCGATATCATCGCTGACTCGGTCCCACACATACTGAGTGGCCAATGGAGACTGCAGGGCAATTGAAAACATGGAGAGGAACATGACCGGCTCTACAGTCAGCGGCAGCGGGCATGTAAACGGTGGTCGCCAGGAGCGGGTGGTCGAGACAGCAGCCTCATCTTTGAGTCCACATGAGCCATACGTGGAAAGTTCTTCCTCGGTGGAAGTGGCGCTGAGCACATCTCCGGATAGGATAGCTGCGGTGTCCCGCTCGTCCATGTCAAGCCGTCCTTAACTTCAACACATGAACTGTCACTTTATATTCAGAGTAGGCTAACTCCCTCAATTTAAACTTGCTCTCTGCTCCCTTCACGTAAAGTCGCGGGTTAGCCACGTAAAATCATCCTAACGCCGGTGTTTTCAACAAATAAAGTTGTCAAGAGTGAGTGGGTGAAGTGACCTCAGCTTGAAGGTAACTTATCTACCAGCTCAGCTCAGAGGAGGTGTTACTGCTGCGCATGAAAGTTGGAGTTCAGCAGCCTCCTCTGGACGAAGATGAGAACTACATTTCAGGGTAAAGACCACTGAGACCGTTTTTTTTCTGTCCGAAATTGACACGCGTTAAAAAGAAATACGATTCAATTCAATTCAATTCAGTTTATTTTGTGTAGCGTCAACTCATAACAAGTGTTATCTCAAGACACTTTACAAAAAGCAGGTAAAATACCTTACTCTTTGTCTGTTAACATTACAAAAGAGCAGGTAAAAAGACCTTACTCATTGTTATGTTACAAAAAGCAGGTAAAAGACCTTACTTATTGTTATGTTACAAAAAGCAGGTAAAAGACCTTACTCATTGTTATGTTACAAAAAGCAGGTAAAAGACCTTACTCATTGTTATGTTACAAAAAGCAGGTAAAAGACCTTACTTATTGTTATGTTACAAAAAGCAGGTAAAAGACCTTACTCATTGTTATGTTACAAAAAGCAGGTAAAAGACCTTACTTATTGCTATGTTACAAAGACCCGGCCTATCCATCATGAGCACTTTAGCAAAGCAGCAAAAGTTACAGTGGTAAGAAAAAAACTGCCTTATTAAAAGGCAGAAATCTTTGGCCGGATCCCAGGCTTATGACGAAACAGCCTTCACAGGCCTAGACTGTGCTGGGGTTGGAAGGGGATAGGGGGAGAGATGGGATAAGATGCAGGAAGAGGGATAGGGAGCAAGGGGGGGTTGGGGGGAGGCAAGCCGTCCATCAACAATCAACGATCTCATGTTATGTTATGTCAATCATGTTGTGAATTCTCCCCATGCTGCCTAAATGGTGACCTCTGCTGCACAGAGCTGTTACATCCAGAAACATGGCTTAGGATGATGAAAAAAATCCTTTAAAGAGCAACCTCTGTCATCTCTTTAATTTGGGAGTCTCAGGCGGTCTGCCCATTCTTAAGAACCTGAGAAGTTTTAATACTCCTCTCATGTTTATTACCATTGACAAGTTATTAAAAGTTAGTTACAACATTATCTTCAGAAGTAATTTCTTATTCTGTTTTAAGTAAGCTCCCTTCATTATTTTATGTCACTTTTCTTTCTCTGTCTATTAGAAGATTATGTAAAAGACAAGTCATACATTTAAAAAGTTGTTTTTCTCTATTCTGAAAATGACTGGGGCTATGTAATAACTTTTTGGGACTTTGATCGGAATTAGCTATAAACTTAAGGTTGCTCCCGGCTACAAAACATCAATTATCATCCTCTTGCGCATGAACACACACACACACACACACACACACACACACACACACACAAACACACACACCGGGCCAACAGTAGGTAGTGATCTGGTTCGTCCACATTTCAGCTCTGGGAGGCTTTTTCCTTGGAATCACAAGATTGTTTTTCAGTTACTCCCACGTGATTTATTTACAAGGCCTCTACCCCTTTTGTTTTGTTTTCGTAGACTACCGTCCTCTGCTCTTTCAGAAACATTTTTGTTTGTCCTGTCAGACATAAGGAGGGGTTATTACAGTATTAGTTCCACATTTATTTTTTGCTTTGACTTTAAAAACACATGAGTCATGTAGTAGCCTAATGTAATAGGTTCATTAAGGCTTGTACTACACTGCATTTTGAGTCTTTTTTTTTGTTTTACATGCATTGTAAAGCTCCATCACAACCAAGTGCACTACCACTATATAATTATATATAAATAAATATAAATATATAATTTCATACTTTTTATACTTCATGTATATCATCCTGATATTATTCAAAATGTACTCTGACATAGGTCTTCTTTGGAACAGGGTTTTTAAATTTTTTAAATGTCCTTTTTACATGAGAATCTGAATGCTCACAATATCATTGGACTCCTTGTCACACCATCAAATTTCAAATGTGGATTATTGTGGGAATACAGTGTGTTTGTAATGGTCACCATGTTTATTCAATCGGCATGGCTGTGTGAGGAAATAGAGCGGCTTGTCCACTAATTGGTACATCAGTGGTTTTTTGCTTTTCCAGTCAACATGTCATGTTTCCTTGGGTAAGATAGGTAAGAACCCTACATTTCTCCTGAGGCAAAGCTTTCAGTGTGTCGCTTTTTGTATGAATGGAAGAATGATATGTTGGTGTTGACTTAAGTCAGAAAGTCTTTTAAGTCGCCTGAAAACTTCAAAGGCACTTTTATAGAGCACGTTTATCTTTATACCATCTTTCTAATCCAGATAAAACAGAAGTCATATTGTGTAATCAAGATAACAAAGATGATTATTTTTTCTCTGCTGCCAATAGCTTCTGATATCTCACGTTCTATATTTCCTTTTCACTACAGGGAAACACACCCTGAACCTGCAGACCCCTCACTCCTGAGTTAATATTTAACCTATTTCTAGGTTGACATACTGTTAATACCACCATAAATACTGTGGCTTTGTCTGTCACTGTCTCTTTGATATTCTTCCTCTCTGGCTATTTGTGGATCATGGCTGGATTTCTTACACTTCTGTGGAGGTATAGGAATTACATCGTGATAGTCCTGACTCCTCTTTTACTTCTGCCTCTGCCGCTGGTCATCCAAACCCAGGTAAGAAAAAAAACACAAATTGAGTTCTTATCCAATTTTTGGAACAAAATGGATTCTACAGGCAAAAGTCAGTGTTTAGTGTGACCTCCCTTGGACCATTTCACATTTTGATCTTGACTTTTAGGGGGACAGTCTTAAAATGTTCTTAAGTAATCTTTTTATATATTTTACCAGGCTTCTTTCTGCACTTGCCGGACGTCTTCTTTAGATTTAGGCTGTCTTTAGTTTATTTCTCTTTCCAGATGATCCCATACTTCCTCTATAATATTACAGTAAGGCCTGGACAGTTTAGAGGCATGTCCACTTCTGTCGGCGTTTTATCAGCCGTTTCTCTCCAAGTGTAATCTCACTGCATGAGCAGTCATGTTTGTTGTCATGTTGAAAAAAAAACTTTGCAAAGTGGTGCTTTCCAGAATGGATGACATCACAAAATGTGAATGGATGAAATCACATTTTGATTTCTCCTCAGAGTTTTGCTTTAGGGTCAGATTATAAATCGCTGTTCACATTCTTTCACCTCAACCAAGTGTCTGTTTATGATGGAGAAACAATGTTCAATGGTGAATCATTTCTAGACGACATCTTTCAGTGTCTCTATGTCACCCTCACTGAACACTCTGGGTTTAGGTGTCAAACCATATCTCAAAAATTATCTCATAGGATTTACTTCAATTAGAAGACTGATCTGTCTCTACCTTCACTAAAACTAAAGCCACAGGTGAAGCATCAAGGGAAACACCTCATAGCAGGAATCCCTGGGTGTTTTTTTCTTCCCATATCTGACTTTGACCTTTGGCTTTTTCTCTAAAAGCTAAATAAATAAACCAACAATTGAAACTAATAATGCAACAGTGCAATATATTAATACCATCGGTGTCGAACAAAGCACCTCTCAGGACCTGAATTATTTTAAAAAATGGCAGGAACTCCTATTCAAGCCAGAAAGTCTGGATAATTTTTGACCCTTAAATGCAAAAAAATCCACCATCAGAGCCTCTCTGTCTGCATTACCTTCACGTAAACTCCTGCACAGCAGTGTTCAGGAAGTCTTTTACTCACGCTGCTTCATCTATAAAGAGGGCTTGCGTTTAAATGCTGCTTTATTGTTACGATACCTTAAACTGTTCATATAAAAATGTAACAGTTACTCACGTTGCTGATGTCCAATACAGCATTTCATGTGTCATTTTGCAACATTTATTTGTGTTGCAATAACATACTTAATATCCTGAAATATCAAAAGACAGAAATTTGGCGCCGAATTCAGAAACTTGTTCAACTTTAGTACTAGTAGTTTATAATCTTGAAATTCAACTGAATGTGATTTGTTGGTAAACCAGTACAAAGGTCCTGACACCACCCTGACCTTATCTCATATAACAGCATTGTAAAAATGACTGCGTATAACACAGTCGGCAACATGGTAGTAATGGAGAGAAGTGCCATTTGTAAAGGAAGGGCAAACAAAAAAAATGTTTTGTAGAGACTTGTTACAGTTAATGAGGTCATTGAATGCTGATTCTGCTGTGTATACTTTAGTAATGAAAGTGATTCAAAAAGGTTGTTCTAGCATTAAGGGATGGCTCACTTCACAGGGGAGGTTGAATTAACACACTCCCACCTGAAACACTGACCAGATATAATATCATGTTATGAAAGAAATGAGAACCTTTTTTTCGAGACTGCCCCCCCTCCCCTTTCCTTCAATCTGTAAAGTATGCAACATAATGAGGTTACCTTTGATCATCACAAAGCTTCTAAGATGTCAGTGTGCGTAACACATTGTTGTCTTAGCTGCACCCTCTCTGGTGCAGGATGCCAGCCAGTGACACTTAGAAATCTTATGATCAATTAAAGAAAGGGATAATGTTCAGCAGCTAAATCATCTTCTCGATAGATCTCAATGTATTTTGAGATGAACCCTTATAGCTGTTTGACAGTTATGTCTAGCTGTTCACGTTTTGTTCAGCACAATAACACCTATGTGAACTTTAAAAAAACTGTCATAAATAATCAAATGCTTGCATGGACCATTTTACATCCACCATTATAAATTCGAAATACTAGTAAAAATTTAAAAGAAGCATCATCATGCATGATGTACTTCAATTTTTGATGCTCATGCGAACGGAAGCCGTGCTTATTTTGGTGTTCAGCCTCAGTGGCGAGCAACTTGGGGGCCATTGAACTGGACTGAATTAAAATATGAAATGATAGTTATGGCAAATGATCTAAAAAATGATCAATGTTTAAGGTATTTTTACATATCTGGCACAACATATTCTGACCGCAAAATTCCCACAAAGAGCATGCAGATTTTAAATCATTTACAGTAAAATCATGCACTTCTGCTTGTACTGTGTATCTGTCATTACAGGAGGCAAAATGTGGCTTTGTGATAATCCTCATGGCGCTGTACTGGTGTACAGAGTGTCTCCCTCTGGCTGTGACTGCCCTGCTGCCTGTCATTCTCTACCCCATGCTGGGCATCATGCAAGCAACAGAGGTATTATTTTTTTATTATTTTAATAAACAAGGAATACATTCTATGCTCCTACATAAGCCTTTCTAGATATCCCTTCTGCTCTCCTTATCCCGTCTTCAAGGTTTCTATACAGTACCTGAAAGACTCCAACATGCTGTTTATGGGTGGGCTGATGGTTGCAATGGCTGTCGAGAAGTGGAACCTGCACACAAGGATCGCCCTTCATGTTCTGCTTATTGTGGGGATGAAGCCAGCCCCGTGAGAAATGTTATTCTTTACATGCATTAACCTACACATACTGCATCAAGCAAATGAAGTATGGGGATCCCCCTGAACATGAATTGTGTTTTTAATCATAGCTAACGTTTCTTTACATTCCTTCCTGATCTTATTGTTTGTTGTGCATCCTCTACAGCCTGTTGATCGGTATCATGAGCACCACAGCCTTTCTGTCCATGTGGATCAGTAACGCTGCCTCCACAGCCATGATGCTGCCTATCACCAGTGCTGTGCTGCAACAGCTCCGTGACACAGAGGCCGCCGCTGAAGAGAGGGATCGTAACGTGGCTGCTGCAAAGGATGGTCAGGAAAACCAGGTGTTCGAGATGGGGGACATTAAAGAAAGCAATGAGATGGAGGTCACAGCCATTGAGAGCAGCGTCAACAATGGTGTGTGACAGGGTTAATGTTTTACTTGTGAATTTTTTGTTGCTTTATATTTTAATGTTGTTGCTTTTTGCAGATACAGATAGAGATAATGACAGCAGAAGCGTGAAAGAAATTATGTGACGTCAAGTATGGTTTTTCTTCTTCAAAACTTTATATAAGTAACAGCCCCGTCTATAAAAGAGAAATACATCATAGAATATAGACAGAGTGCCACACAGTCCCAAATGCACCCTTGCCTTCATCCAAACAGAGACATGTAATAGTAAACTTTCACAGAACTCTTGAAATCCAACAGAAATAACAGAAACTACTGAGAATGGAGGCCCAATCAATAGATTCAAAAATTAAGACGTCTTTCCAATGCTGAAGGTCTGACTTTTGTCACTCCAGAGGATAGTGACAGGAGTCCAGCGACTGAGCGGCGCAGAATGAAGGCAAAGCGGAAGTATGATAATTGGAGGAAAGGCATGAGCCTGAGTGTTTGTTATGCCGCCAGCATCGGTGGGACAGCCACCCTCACTGGGACAACACCCAATGTCATCCTGCAAGGTCAGATAAATGAGTAAGACCTCCAAACATTCAAATAAACACTTCTTACTCGGCCTGGATTCAATTATCAAAACCAAACCAGATACAGAGTTAGTTGCTTGGGTTCTACCTGCTTCTGATCCAAATGTTCTCATCAACAGACTCTTCCCAGAGAATGGAGGCCTAATCAACTTTGCAAGCTTTTTTGGCTTCTCTTTCCCAAACATGGTGCTAATGCTCGCCCTGTCTTGGTTGTGGCTGCAGTTAATGTTTTTTGGCTTCAAGTAAGTTCCATTGATTGCAGTCGTTCTTTGTTTTAATATCTCACTATTTTTTAAATGAGTCATTTATCTTCACATTGTGTTATATCAGCTTGAAAAAGTCCTTTGGATGTGGCACAAATAAGGAAGGCGACAGAGAGGCGTACCAGGTGATCAAAAACCAGTACAAAAATTTGGGCAGGATGAGCTTCGCTGAGGCCTGTGTGCTGGTGATCTTCACGCTGCTGGTTCTTCTGTGGTTTACCAGGGATCCTGGGTTTATGCCTGGCTGGGCCACTGTGCTCTTCAACAAAGAAAAAACGTGAGTATAAATAAGTTTCAAAGCCTTTCATGACCTAATAAAGTGAACAGTTCACCAGGGATAGACCAAAACTAGGAGGTAAATATAAGGAAGGGTCAACTATTAAAGGTTTCTGTCGTGCTTAGTGCTGGTCCTTCTAAAGAAGTTTTAATCTTCGAATGGTCTCAAGTCAGAAGCTTGAATTGTTCAAACCTGTTTTCCTCTGTTGAGTCTTGTGGTTTATTCATAAAGTGTTTCCTGTCATCACTGCAGTGAACTCAAGACGGTCGTCGAGTGTTCTCAAGTTAATACATGAAATGTGTTTCCTCATCAGGTACGTCACAGATGGCACTGTGGCCATATTAATGTCTTCCCTTTTCTTCTGTATCCCGTCCAAATTACCGAGTTGCAGCAGGAAGTCTGAGGACGGTAGGTTGAAGACATGCAGCTTTTCATTTTGTGAATAACAAGTGCATTGCTTTCCCTATGCGATCAAAAAAATGTTACAAAATGTTAAATATGAACAAAACAAACTTTCTATTGAGTATTTTTGCGTAATATATTCATGCTTAATGCTGTCATTGTTTGGTAACTGTTATAAAATTATTTTGAAAAAACCCCTAACGCTAAGTAATTGTTTCAACCATTGACTGCATATTATTATGGACAATGCATCTCCATCTTCTTCCGTTGTACAAAAGCGAAACCAAAATACGCGCACTTCTGCCGCTGGTGACATATTGCGCTGGTGATGTCATTTGGGGTCAGACATGCGAAGAAGGGAGCAGGCTGGTTGAAATGGGGAATTGACAGCAACCCCCTTCTGCTAACTGGAGCAGATATTGAACTTACTGATAAATCATCAAAGACCCCTCAGGTCAGTGCAGTCTACAGCAGAACATATTTGTGTGTGGGTTTGAAGCAGATGCTCACAGTTATGGAAGTTTCAAAGACTGCATTGTTGGTTTTGGTTACGTTTTTTCTCGCTTTACCTCGTCAACACATCTGTCAAATATAATGTAGAATCCGCTGCCAAATTTGTATCAAATAACTGATTAAAAAAATAAACACTTTGACATAAATCAGCATGATATTAACTATTGTGGAAAAAAAAGACATGCATTGAATATGCTCTGTAGATTGACCCATGTCCCATCTGTAAACATGGAGTAGGAGGGTTTTATGACCTATACAGCAGCCACTCAGCCTCTGAGTGTTTTGGCATCATTCTCATACAGCTGTCTCTTTGTCCATCTTTATATACTTTCCTTTGTTATCTTGTATTTGGTTCTATCTTTGCACATCTGGATAGCCCAATGGGAAGTATTCATTTACTTGTTACATCTTATTTTATTTTAAAAAGAAATAACGTTCGAATACAGAATACAATGCAGGTACTCATTAAATCAGTCCTATAAATCATGTAAAAAAACAAACGCATACAAACAGCAATATTTGTGTGCTCAGTCAAATGCTTAAGATAATGGTGCAGTTTTGTAACCACATCTGTCCTAAGAGGTGTGTCCTGTAACAGATAAAGATACACTCAATAGCCTTCACTACTTGTGAAAACTCATCTTGCTGATTTGGGGCTTAGTGAAATGTGTTGTCACAAATGTTTCCTGAGTTGTAGGCTGATAGCACGGCCTGCATGGTCAGGTCAGGCCTGCACTGCAGCTCATGCTGTGCTGTTACTTACACAAATTACTTTTGGCCCAAAAAGTAATTTATTCCAATGGTAACCTTAGTTAAATGTGTCAATCTGCTTCCTGCAAGCATCAGAGTCTTCTGTGCTCCTAAAAAAGTGGAAGAGCAAGCAGAGTGACACAATGCTTTTGTGGCAGCCTTCGAGTTGCCAAAGTCCATTTCTCACCTTGGAAAATGAAAAAAAAGTTCAAAGTCTAGTAACAAGATCACACTTAAATCAGGTTTTAGTGATAGTTTAGCAGTTTATCACATTTCCGTTTATCTTTACAGAGTTCACGATGGTCAAAACCTCATATAACCAGACAATAAAAGCTGGTGTATTCTACAGTTAGGTTAGATAGATCATTATCTTTGTCTATTCTACCAAATGCAGAATTTGTGCAATTAACTTGTTTCTGTCCCTCCTAATAGGGGCATCTGCTGAAGCCGTTTCACCGCTGCTAAGCTGGGACATCGTCCATAAAAAGATGCCCTGGAACATTGTTTTGCTCCTTGGAGGCGGTTTTGCAATGGCCCAAGGAAGTGAGGTAAGACAGACGCTCTTTAAGTCCACATTTTTCTGAGGCAAAAAAAAGTGTACAAATGAGCTCATGTTGATTTGTGTATCTTCATTCGGTCTAAAGAAATCTGGACTTTCCACGTGGCTGGGAGAAAGTCTTGTACCGCTGCAGAGCATCCCTCCTTTTGCCATCTCTATCCTGCTGTGTTTTTTGGTGGCCATGTTCACTGAATGTTCCAGCAACACTGCTACCGCAACTCTCTTCCTACCCATACTGGCCTCAATGGTGAGACAAAGCACAATATAATTTCTTAATCTTTTAACGACTTTGCTTTGTGTTATTGCTGTAGTACAAGGACAGTTGCTTGCTTTTGGTTGGTTTAGCATCTTAATGGATTGTGTATACTACCCACAGCGAAGTCTAACAATGGCGACCTGATAAATTTAAACCTGCATGTGTTTGAATGTAGAAATAAATCTTTATGTCCAGGCAACTGCTATAAAGGTTCATCCGCTGTACGTCATGCTTCCCTGCACCTTTGCTACCAACCTGGCCTTCATGCTGCCTGTAGCCACACCTCCCAACGCCATCGCCTTCTCCTACGGCAACCTTCGCGTCATCGACATGGTAAGACCTCAGAGAACAGAACCTGTACATGAGTGTCTTGATGTACACTAGGAGTTTTGGATAAAGGCTCATATCCAGATTTCAGATAAGCAGATTATCTTAATCCTTATACGTGAACATTAGTTTCTGTTTGCATAAACATCATATCTTGTATGATAACAATAATAATAGTCAAATATCTAACTAAGCTCAGGGAGACCAAGCGTGCAAATGAAATGTATGCATGTCTTTTGGAAAATTGGACTTGATATTATTACATTGTATTAAAACCCACTCTGACAAAAAAAAACTGTATTGTCTTTGATGAAGGTCTAAATGTCAATATGTCTTATTTTCTGTTGTTTTTTTTCAGGCAAAAGCTGGATTTATGTTGAACATTATCGGAGTCATAACCATCAACATTGCCATTAACACATGGGGGGTGGCCATGTTCCAGCTAGACACCTTTCCAAGTTGGGCAAATGTCTCTAAAACTCCTTGAATATGAACTTAAGAAAGTGGAAACAGGGAGAAACTGTTGGACACAAAAAAATATCAGATTATTTATCGGGATTTTACGACTGGAGGACCTGTCTGACAATGACTTTGTAATTTTTGTGTTAAGCCCACCTGAACACCCCAGCCAGTACAGCCTGGTGTGCACTCAAGGTCTGTCCATTTGTGCTTGCACAGGTTCTTCTATGCAGCTTTCAATCCGAGATCCTTCCTCACATTGTGATCTTCTTCAGAAACAACCGAACGTGATGGCCGGGAAACATTGGAGCACCTTTTGTTGATGTTTTGACTAAACTGAGATCACTTCATTTGGACAAATCCTACTTTGGACAGTCAACCAAGACGACCCAAACTCAAAACTTGAAGTGTCAAAGCATTGATTTATAAGATTTTCACTCTTAAAAAATGTCACAAGTGTTTATCCTAGCAGAAGTAATTTTAGGGCTAAACATACATCATTTGAGTTTTCATGAAAACCCGAAAGATGTAATGTTACATTATCCTAATTATAATTAAACAAGTAAAGTTTAAAGTTTAATCAACAACAAGAAACAAATATTATGTAGTTGTTCTACGTGCTTACTAATGGATTTTCATATGAGATGTTATTACCAAATGATTAAAGGCTTTATATGTGATTTTTTGATCTAGCAGATGTCGCCCTTGAGAACCAGCATGAAACCAAAACAACTTTGTGCATTGTTTTGTTAGCATGCTAATGCTAGCGATCTTTATTATGCTCATATCTTCACACTGCATGTAAATTTACCCGAAATGAGTGTGATCTAGAAACACAGTTAAGCAGTGAGTACAGTATGTTATTCTTCTTTTCTTTAGTCCCTCAATTAAACAACTTTTATACGTGAGGGGATGAACCGGCTGCTGTCTCGGCGATGTCAACAAACTGAAAATATGACTCGGTAAACTTGGAAAACATCACAGACAGTGGGACTCGGGTGTTACACCCATTGTAGACAGTCATTACTCACAGAGTTATTTTCAGAGGATATACTTGATTTCTATTATATTTAAGTGTGAAAAATTGCATATAAAGCCTTTAAGTGTGGTAGAGGAATGCTCTTTATATAGGACACAATGGATGGTAACATCAGTAACTATTTTACAGATTTGGCTGGAGTGTGGGATATTTACACTTAAATGAACCATACTCATCTCTACTTTTAGTTGGTAACTCAGAGCAAAAAAAACCCCCAAAAAACTACATGCAATTCTGAATAAATTGTTTTTGAAAAGCAGAATATTCATTGTCAAAGAACATAAATCTTTGGAAAAAAATATCCTGCAGGTTCACTGTACCTTTGGCTGAGACTGTTAAATTTAATGATGGATTCAAATCTCATTGCCATCCATAGGATTAGGACCACTGGGTCCCCAATTAATTTAAAGAGATCCAAGAGGACAGAAGGCAAATCCCTCCAAGGGTCAATGAGGGAGATAGGCAAAATGATTGAAAGAAAGGGAAATCAATTTCAGGAAACTGAAAATATTTCATTGAACTGTTTGGCAGGGTTTTATATAAATTTGTTACATGTGAATGCTCTGAGCTAAACCGGATTTTAAAGTGGTGAAAGTACAGTACAGACAGGTCATACAAGTAAGCAGTTATAAAATCCAAAATTTTCTTTTGCAATCTGGTGACCATTCCTCCAGTAAAAACTAAAAGACAGCATCATTCAAAGGAAATACTGTATTTTCTCACAGTGATGGAAGTTTATGAAGTTGAGATGAATTTCAACTATCAGAGGTAAGAGAACTATTTATGTCATGATATGTTATGGTTTCATTTTTAATGGCAACTTTTTTTTCTTCTTCAAATCATAACGTAAGCCAGTCCTTTTTTTCTTGTGATCTTTTAACAAATCAACAATTAGGATGGTTTAGTCTGCAGTTCAATTTCTACTTGAAAGCTTTTGGGGATTGTAAGATTTTTGGTATTAGCCTTTGTTAAAACTTAGACTGAATAAACAGAACAAACAAAAAACATGAATGAGGGACATTTTCTCCATTTACCAAGCTAAAATGAATTAGATTTACTGGGTGAGCTCAAGACTTTTTAGATCTTGATAGTCTTAGGTACATGATACATTATTACCAGCTTTAGTAAAAACCCTGGAAAACACTTTGAGTGTGTTGAGCCTTTTTAAAGATGTTTTTTTTTATCAAGGGAGGTCAGTTGGGGTTAAATTATAATTTTAAGTCATTGGAGGAGACAGCTGCACATTTTATCGTGAAATATCCCTGGGACAGGAATAGTTATTGCGGATTTTATATAACCTCGGCCTGAGCCAAACCGTGATGTCAGTAATAAATCTAACTGCCTCAGGGACTCTCAGTGTTTCTCTCTACATTTTTATAAGACAATCATAAATTAGTTTCTTCTGACATTAAAGATGGGATTTAATTTACATTTGCTTGATCTTACATTCATTTCTTGATTTATGAATATGTTTTATTTGAGAAACCAACGACAATGCACTTAACATGTTTCTATAGACCAAATTTTTTGATCTGGTGCTGCAAAAACACGTTTGTTATACAGCAAGAGACTAAAAGCAACATTAAGATGAAATAACTTTACCTGCCTTGACTTGATTAATCTTGTTTACAGCAGATTCCTGTTACATATAAATTTGGAATTAATGTGAGATTATTTTCTAGAATTTAGTGTACATGTGGAAAAACAATCTCTGTGAATGGTTACGTTTGTAGGCAGGTGCTGGAATATCTGCATTTGAAATCAATACAGTCGCATGTTCCGGTCCTAAATTATGTCTTTTAATTGGAGCAGCAAGTGTGTTTCGGTAAGATTTTGTCAAAATTAATTGGTAGTCGACAAAATTGGGGCTTTAATGTAAGAAACAACATATGTGGATCATTATCTATCATTATATCTCTCGTGGTATTGTAGCAAAAAAATGTACTTGTAGCTCAAAGAACATTTTCTCAAAATCATAAAAGTTATGTCTGTAAAACTGTTGACAGGACACCTTAAACTGCAAACTTAGCCAGTTCTGACTTTTTTGTTATATATTTAAATTATGGAGGCTTTTTTTCAGTAATAGTTTTCTCAAACAGAAGGAAACTTGCTCATGCCTGTGTACATTCAGTGCAATAAAAGCAGTCAATTTATAGAGATAGGAACACAATTTTACAAGTACAGTTAACCAATGCTATACATGTAATCAACATCTGCATAGAAAATAGTCAATCTGCTTGTCTGAGGCATTTTTCTTTTTACAACTAAAGTTGATAGAGAGGGCCTCTGTGACATTATTTTAGTTTAAAGAGAAGAAAATGTTACATGTAAAGTACTTAAGAAGATCCAGATAGGTAAAACAAGACAAGCATGTCTAAATACCACTTGGAATACAGGGTGCATTTTAAAAAATAGCTGAATCTAAAGTGCACGCACAGATACGCGTAAGCCATCAGCATGATTAAATCTTTTAATGACAGTTACCTGTCAACGTGCCAAAATATATTTCTTTGTGTGATGTGTCATTCTTTAATTACAATGGAAATAGGCCTAACTCTTGTGTACAGTGAATTCAAAGAAAGAAACAGCTTGGTTGTCAATACAGTTTTCATGAGCAGAGGACTTTCTTCCCACAACACAATGACACTTTCACTGTACAGTAGTTCCCCTTGGAATCTGTTCCCACATTACACCCACCTCAAGAACTTCATCTTTGGCAGAAAGAGCCTTCAGCTAGATTGTTGTGCAGAGGCCCTTGCACTGTAACACAAGAGTTTATTCAATTTGTAATTAATCCTCTGTCTCTGTCATTCTGCCTCACCCTCTCACTGAGGACAGGGTTTGTACAAGCTATAGCTACGAGGTAGGGGTATTACTGTTTTCCTGGTTCATTGAGAGGATAGGATAGGAATCTACCTGTATCGACATACCTACTACTCCCTCTCCCTCTCTTTCTTTTTCTTTATTTCTCTCACTCCCTTTTTTACTGAGACTCATACTGTTACTGTAAAAATGTCAGATTGGAGCTCAAGTAGAATTTGGAATAAAGAGTTAAAGCTTCATGCCAAGAGAAGCACTGGTCCATGGAGCATCTGAAAACGAATGTAGGAGCTGCATGAGATCAATTTGACTTTACATCCTGCAGACCACAACGGCCTGGTTTATGGGTATGTTCATTCATTCTGACATTAACTTCTACTGGCTGTATTGGAAAGTGAAATTTCCTGATTGACTGCTTTTGTTACAGCAGTAGCTGGTGCTTTTGTGATGTGTAACTTTGAAAGTCCCTTTGCACGCTCTGAATGCATAAAGTGTCCTGCATGTGTTTACTTGTGCGCATGTTGTTAAGTGGAAATAGATAACATTTAAGACAGCCTTTGCCACAGGCGAGTACAGAAACCAGGGCATGGCGCCCGCTCACTGCCACTGGCTGTGATCTGCACTGTATCTGATGTCCCATTCACACAAGTAACCATTCAGTCAGGCAAAGAAAGACTGATAGAGGGAGAACGAGTGCGCTGCCAGCTGCCAATGACTGAACCAGTAGATCTTTTGGAACCTGTTGCAGCAGGTTTTTCTTTCTGTTATCTTATTTCTGGTCTACACTGGACCTGTGCCAGACACACACACGCACACACACTCGCACACACACACACACACACACACACACACACACACTCGCACACACACGCACACACACACACACACACACACACACACACACACACACACACACACACACACACACAGAATGAGGATGATATTCTGAGCTGCCAAAATCTGAAACCAGCCCATCAACCATTTCCATACACATTTAGACAGCCAATCTAATTGAAGTGCTGCACTGTCAGGTTGAAGGAGGTGCGAGGTGCACAGATTCCGGAGGAGAATGGACACAGATGTTGACAGAGGTTACAGGGGGGAGTGAGATTATCCAACTGAAGTTACAAGTCCACAAAGAGGAGAGGTGGTAGTTATTGTTGGCAAAGGCTAGGTAAGTTCCACTTGTTTTACCTTTCCATTGTAAACAAAAGACAGCTGAAACTGTTGGCACTGCTGCAGGCAATGAATGTAGGTTAACCTTTTTGAACGTGGAGTGGCTGTCTTCACATGTCAACAACGCTGGTTGAACTCTGTGTGTAAATTATCTAGACAATTAGCTTGAACTTGTTCCTGTCTGCTAATTACTATACACATGAAGGAATCCTCCTTACTTCATAAACATGTGTGTGTATCTTAACTTATAGCTGCATGTGAAGCTTATAGCTATGTCAGCTTGACTTTATAGATATTTCTAGTTCAGTAAGATAGCCACAAAATTAATTTAACCACGGAAAAAGCAAGGTAAGTGTTACCTTTTTTAAGTTGCTTTTGTGGGTAGTTTCTTGTTTAGAAAAAAAGAGGTAGTTATACGCACATCACCTAGGTGCAAGGCAGTGCAAAAACAACAAAACTGAGGAAGAAGATAGGCCCGCAGACTTGCTCAAATGTCGCAAAAATGTTTTTAATGATCACAACGTTTCGACCAGAGGTCTTCTTCAGGTGATCATTTTTAGTTTCTTGTTTTCAATTAAAACAACTACAATACATGATTGTTTTTATCAGATTAAAAAAACCCATTAAGTTTAGATTTCCCATGAT